CTGTCTCAAAAAAATAAATAAATAAACACGTCCTCAACGTGTGATGTCCAACACAGTAGCCCCTAATCATATACAAGCTATGGAGTGCTTGAAATGTACCTAGTGCAACTGAGGAACTACATGTTTAATTTTGTCTAATTATAATTAAATGTAAATGTACATAGCCACATGTGACTCATGGCTACCGCATTGGACAGCATGAAGCTATGTCCAACCTTTTGAATGGGAGGACTTTCTTTGCTTATCTGTGATGGTGGCTATCATGAAAATTATGCACAAACTTTTTTTTTTTTTTTTTAGCTCATTAGCTCCTGTTAGTGTATTTTGTGTGTGGCCCAAGACAGTTCTTCTTCTTCCAATATGACCCAGAGAAACCAAAAGCGTGGACACCCTGCCAGATTTGTCATTGTGGCTAAATTATTTACTCTTAGGTTTAATCTCAAATGAGTAATTACAGGTTGACTTTTCACAAGGACGTATCTGGTTTGCGGGGAGGGTCATGTGCATTATTCAGATTTCTGGGCCTGTTGCATAGGAGGATGGGACTTGGGGGATCCTTGAGGGTGGGGATTTTACCTGCCTTTTCCCCCAGCACCAGCACAGCAGCCGCCCATGGGATACCGAGACCGTGTGAGTTGAATGAATATGAGGATTAAATAGTTTCAAGAGCTGCCTTTCTCCCAACTACAATTGGCAAAGGCTTTGAAACCATCCCTCCCCGACAGCTGATTTGTGGGGTGAGGAGGGATTTGGATTTGATGGCTCTGCTTCTCTTGGGGATGGGTGAGCCCACGAGGGTGAATTTGCTACCACAAAGAACAGTAGCCTCTCTCCTCTTTGGCTCTGCATGTGGTTCCCGAGTGGGAATTTCCCATATCAACGTTTTTTGGGGGAAAGATAATCTAAGACTCTTGGCTGGTCGCGGTGGCTCATGCCTGTAATCCCAGCATTTTAGGAGTCCGAGGCGGGTGGATTACTTGAGGTCAGGAGTTCAAAACCAGCCTGACCAACATGGTGAAACCCCTGTGTCTACTAAAAATACAAAAAAATTAGCTGGGCATGGTAGTGAGTGCCTGTAATCCCAGCTACTCCAGAGGCTGAGGCAGAGAATTGCTTGATCCCAGGAGGCGGAGGCTGCAGGGACCTGAGATGTGCCAATGCACTCCAGCCTGGGTGACAGAGTGGGGAAAAAAAAAATTAGCAGGGCGTGGTGGCAGCACATACCTGTAATCTCAGCTACTTGGGAGGCTGAGGCAGGAGAATGGCATGAACCCGAGAGGCAGAGGTTGCAGTGAGCCGAGATCACACCATTGCACTCCAGCCTGGGCAACAAAAACAAAACTCTGTCTAAAAACAACATCAACAACAACAACAAAAAAACAAAAACCAAAAAGAATCTATGGATAAAAGATATCCAAGTTATGCGTTTACTATCCAAATAATGATTTGAAGTGTTGCCTCAATAGAAACAGAAGAGGGAATAAATGGGCCTAGTCTTCCCCTCTCTCGCCTGTCGTCCCAAGCAAGCAGAGTGACAGAGAAGATGACATGTGTCCCATAATTCGAGCTCAGATGGTAATTCCCCTGTCGGATACTGGTTCAGGTTTCCATTTAGTTGCTCCTAATCATCTTGAGCAGCTCCCTTCTGCTCTGTGGGCCTCAGTTTGCATATCTGTAAGATGGGGAGGGTGGGGGTGAACTAGATTGCTGCTTAAAGCGTGGTCCACCAACCAGCAGCACCAGCCTCCCCTGGGAGCTTGTTAGAAAGCCAGAATCAGACCTTACCCCAGACCTATCCGAAACTGCATTTTAACAAGTCCCCTCCCTTGCAATTGGTGTCTTATTCCTATCAGCTCCTACCTTCTGTGAGCCTGAAGCTAAACGGTGATTTGTTTTATTTTTAGGAATTAGAAGCACAGTTTGTGGAAGAGACAGCAGGCTTTGGAGGGTCTCTGGGGTTTTTAGTCTTTGCAGCCATGGGAGAGGTCTGGGCAGGTGTGTTTTCAAAAGGTGAAAGTAACTCATGCCAGAGAAGCATGTTTCACGCAGCAGCCTGGGATGTCCCGATTTGCAGAAGCAGAGGGTTTTCTAAGCGCTTCTCTCCAAAGATGCAGGCTAGGGCACCCTGTCCCTGGGGTCCCAGCACAGTGGCCCCACACATCCTAAGGAGACAGTGCTGAAAGCAACACCTCTGAGAAAGGGCTGGCAGGAGGGAGATCAGGGCTGCTGGGAGTTTCCCAGGCTTGCAACTCTTCCTGTGTTTATCTGATCCAGAGGGGTGCTTGGGCTGTTCTGTCTCCCATCTCCTTTCTAGGGATGCTGTGTCTGAACCAGGTGACCAGAAAGATGCATTTCTCTGCCAGGGGAAAGCTGGGCCTGGGGAGGGACGAGTGGTGGGTGGAGGCAGTAAGGGATGGGGGGTGTTTGGCTGCCCCTTACCTGACCCAGGAGAGGAGGACAGGGTCCTTACTGAGCAATGTCCGAGAAGGGTTTCTGAATCACAGTTTGTCAGGGGAGATTCCTGAGCTCTGCTTTCCTGTTTCCATGGTTTCTGGCATCCACGAGGATAGACTTGGGTCCTTTGCCAGAAAAGGAGCTAAGTGGGCCCTGTGTAGGTGATCCTGCAGGAGCCATGGCATGGATTTAAAAGTCCATGGACAAGAAACCTAGGTCATAAAGGAAGAGGGCAACATGGAAGCTTCCCTGACCACAAGAGAGCTGGAGGGGGATTCTTGCCCACCTTCCCTCAAGCTCACTCAGGTTTGATTTCAAGATCATGGATTTGTCTACCAGGGGCAATGAAATGGCTCAAATCAAGCATTTACTCTTCCCAGTAAACCTGGGTGAGAGATAAGCAGGGCATCGTGTTATTGTTCCCATTTTATAGAATGTGGCTTCTGGAACCAGAACACCTGAGTTCAAATCCTGACTAGGCCACCTACTGGTTCTGTGACCCTCTGCAGAACCCCAGACCTACAGAATCAGAATCTGCATGTTTTAGCAAGGTCTCTCTGGAAAACAGATGCACACTGAAGGTTGAGAAGTGTTGACTGTGCGATAGCCCACACTCCTACCAGGGCCTCTATTCTGAGATCCTGAGATTGGACTGCAAATAATTTCATCCCTAGGAATTAGGAGCACAACTTCTGGAGAAGAAGGACAGGCTTTGAACTCTATCACTTATGTCCTGTATGACCTTGGGCAAGTGGCAAGTTATATGCTTTGTGCCTCAATTTCCCCATCCATAAACTAGAGATAATAATTATACCTAGCTCAGAGTATTGCTCTGAGATGGTAAATTAGTCAATGTAAGCAAAGTGCATAAAGCAGTTCCTGGCACCTCACAGCGTCCCGTCCCGGTAGTGTTTGCTTCGATTGTTACTATTACTGTGACAGATGAGAGACCCGTGAGCTTCAGAAAAGCTGGGTAATTTACCGAAGGATGTCGTATTAGTTTGCTAGGCTGCCGTAACAAAGTAGCACGGCCTGGACTGGGTGAATTCGGCAACAGAAACGTGTTTGCTCACAGTTCTGGAGCCTAGAGCTCTGAGGTCGAGGTGTCAGGAGGGCTGCTTTCTTCTGAGTCCTCTCTCCTTGGCTTGTTGGTGGCTGTCTTCTCCCTGTGTCTTCACCTGGTCTCTCCTCTGTGTCTGCACCCTGGTCTCATCTTCTTATAAGGACACCAGTCATATTGGATTAGGACCCACCCATCTGAAGTCATTTCACCTTAGTTGTCTCCTTAGTCCTAACTCCAAATGCAGTCACATTCTGAGGTACTGGGGGTTGGGATTTCCACATGTGAATTTGGGGAGTGCACGATTCAGCCGGTAACAGATACATAACCATTAAGTGACATATCAGCGTAAACAAAACTGTGCCCAAGAGAAGTCACAAGGGTGTGGTTGATTCCAAAGCCTGCTACCTCTCCACAGGATAAAAAGTGACCTGTATATTCTCGTGTGTCATTTTAAGAGAACCATCCAGCATCATTAGTCTCAAATAAAATGTTTCCCTTGAACTTTGCTAACTGAAGCAGAGTGACTATCTAGATTGTTCTGTCCTTTCTAGATTGTTCTATCCATCTCTTTATCTTCCTTTGCCTAAGAAGATAGCAGCTTACCATTTGGGAGTATACTTCCTTGCATTCTGGCCTCCCTCTCCTCTTGCCAGTAATACTCGAGAGGCAGGATTCACATCCGGTTCCTCTCTGTACCACCCAAATCGCCTACTCCAGGGACCAGTGATATCTGTGAGTTGACATTTTTCAAGTTAGCATATCTCAGTTAACCCTTACCACAATAACAACTGGTTACCAGTAGCATTATTGTTCCCATGTTGGCGATGAGAAGGCACAGAGAGATTAAATGGCCTGCCCGAGGTCACACGGCTGATGAGAGCCAGAGTTGGAATTCAAACCCAGATTTTCAGGTCCCATCTCCTGTCTCTTCTCTCATGCCACGGACTGTCCTTGATACCAAGAGACTTAATGGCTTGATCACTGACCATGTGTCAGTGTCTCTTGATTCCCACAGTGACCCTGAATTTATGGCACATCGTCTCAGCATTACAGACTTTTAAACGGGGCACAAGTGGCCACATGGCACCCTCCATGTGAGCTGCGTGGCTGGGATCGAAGACTCTAGAGCACACGCTCCTGGCTACCCCACTGTCCTGCAGTCACTGAGATTAACCTTGCCTAGATTTGGCTGAAGCACGAATCGCCTCCTGCAGGGTGGGCAGGGAGGGGAATGCCTCTCTCTGCTGTCTTATTCCAGGAAACCAGCTTCCAGGTCACCCCGCCAGTCTCATCTCACCTCCTGCCTCACAGCTTAAACTGACCCTCTCTGTTACCTCCTCCTCCCTCTTCTTCCAAGAATCCCTAGGGAAGATCCTGGTTCCCCATGAGGTTGAGGGAGTCATGGGAGTGCTGTTGCTCTGCGGCCTCTCTGGAGGCTCCTGTAACACTTAGCTCCTTTCCTGTGTCTCCCCTTGCCCTGCAGGTGACCAACCCTGGATCCTCTGAAGCAGAGAGTGACACCAGCAACCAACGCCTCCTGCTCCTGCTTTTCCTCTTTTGTCTCTTGACCCTGTGAGGTCCAGCAACCACGGGGACTGAGCAGCAGCTGGACCTGGGGCAGCTGAGCTTCTGGAAAACCTTAGCATGTTATTGTGAAGACTTGCAGAGTATCCTGAAGTGCTGGCTTTTGGGAAAGGATGCCTGCATTTTCTTTTGCAAAGGCTCGGCTGAAGGAGTTTGCTGCACCCTTTAAGGGACAGGCCAGCTCAGGTCCTCATGGCTTGATCTCTGAGCAGCCCTCTAACCCAGTGAGGACAGCGGTCAACTGGTCTCCAGCCAACAGCTTCCTGTAGAGACTTCCAGCATTGTTAGCTAACATGTGCTCTTTCAATGCCTTCAACAGCTGGGAACTGTTTCAAGACTATCTTGCCAGCTAAGAAGCAGAATCCCAGTTCCTGTTGCCAGGAAGCTTTTAATGGCCAGTGGAGAATGCTGTCCTCCCTTGGTGAAAGAATTCCCAAGTGAAATTTGGGAATCTTTTAGGATTCACTTCAACAGAATGTTTCTGGGGACATGTATCTTCAGGCACTGGAAGCCACTCATGGGCAAGAAAGCCCAGATGACCACCAGCCCCGCAGTGTGGGATTGGCCTCCATGGGCAGGGCAATCTCTCTGCCCCCAGTGGCTTAGACAGCTGGGTCTGAGACATAGCAGAAGGTCTCACAAATGTTAGGAGAAGGGAGTTGAGCATTATTCCTCCATGTGGAATTATTTTTGCATTTATCCAGAAAGTGACATTTTTTGTTTGATCTTTGAAATCACCTGTGATATAATCAGAAGATGTCAGACCTTCAATGTCCAAGTCACCACCCTCCCCACTCTGTACCTGGGAAGTCTGAGGTCCACAGAAGGGAACGTGTTTAATGGGGGTTACCCAACAATTTAGGGCAGGAGGGGTGCCCCCACCCAGCCTACCTCCCTTGCCCTCTCACTTCCAACCTTGCAGTCTGTCATCTTCCTTGACCAAGGAAGGGTTCCTCAGGGGAGCCCATGATGAGCGGGACACTTTGGTAGCAGACAGCGAACTATTAATACCTTTGGTTTTTCTATACTGGTGGGGAGATCTGAGACCAGGGTTCTGGCTTTTCCCTGAGGACCATAAAATGCTCCTATTCCTGATGTCCCCTTCTGTCTATTGTAAGGAGGGTGAAATGGAGCACTCCTCTTCTGGGGGCCATGGGAAAGGCGCCACTCCCAGATGCTGTGATGCATGACTTCAGCAATCTGGCTGACATGACTAGAATGGGCCCTGTTGTTCTCAGCAGAGCAGGCTTGGGTCAGGCAGGGTGGCAGTTGAGAGGACACGGCAGGCATTGATTCTGGGAGTATCATTTCCTCCCTCCCCTGGCCTCCCAAGCACACCTGTGTGGGAGGTAACAGGCAGACGGCGCAGTGTCCTCCTTTCAGACCCCTTGCCTGTCCCAACTCACTGAACTTGCACAAAGAGCTTCACTTTGAACCAAAAGGTCGGGGGTGATCAGATTTGTCGCTGAGCTGGTTTTCAGAGAGGAGCCTGGGCCGGGTGAGATAGATTTTGGCCCTTTTCTCAGTATGGGAGAGTATCTGTGTCTTTCTGGGCACAACTACAGTCATATTCAGAGGAGGAATTGGGGAGACCGCATAGAAGCTGGAGCTGGCCACCCCCAAAGCCCGTCTCAGTTCCCTACGTGCACCACAGAGGACTTGAACAAACACTTCTCTCCAAGTGGCATTACAGCTGGAAAAGGAAATCTCACATCTTGTCTTTATTAAGTTCCTGTCTTGAGGTTTACCTAGATAGATTCCCATATTAACCTTCTGTATGAGTAAAAGGAAAAAAAATAACAATAGCTTCAATAAATTTGAAGTTTAATAAACTAGAAGTTTAATTCAGGCTGGGCATGGTGACTCATGCCTATAATCCCAGCACTTTGGGATCACTTGAGGTCAGAAGCTTGAGACCAGCCTGGCCAACATAGTGAAACCCCATCTCTACTAAAAATACAAAAAGTAGTTGGGTGTGGTGGTGCATGCCTGCAGTCCCAGCTACTAAGGAGGCTAAGGCAGGAAAATTGTTTGAACCCAGGAGGTGGAGGTTGCAGTGAGCCAAGATCCTGCCACTACACTCTAGCCTGGGTAACAGAGCAAGACTCTGCCTCAAAAAAAAATAGTAAAATAGCTTAATTCTCTCAAAATAAAACAAGTCCATCATCCAGGGCTATTTTGGTTCTCCACAGGGTCAAGGCCTAAGTTTTCTCTCTGTTTGCACTGGCATCCTCAGTGCATGCATGGCCCCCACTGAATGGCCCAAGATAGCTGCTAAAAATCCAGCCATCACATCTTCCTTCCAGCTAGCAGGAAGGAGAAGGGAGAGAAGAAAGTCTCTCTGTGCTTCCTTTAAGGGAATTTCCTGGAATTCAGACACCATACTTCTGTTATATTGGCCAGAGCTGAATTCCAAGGCCACAAGTAATGGAGGCTGAGGACAAGGACAAGCAAGTGAGACTGAGGAATGTAATCTTTTTTCTGGGTAGCCATGTGCCCAGATAAACACCAGGGGTTTTGTTACTGAGGAAGGAGGAGAAAATGGATACTGGGGACAATTAGCTATCTTTGCCACACCTTCCTCCTAGATAGATAAGAAGAAGGTTTACAGCATGTAGGCATCTATATTTACATTTTCAATATTATCCAAGACTGGATTAGACACATAGACTGGTAACGTAAAAGCTAGAAAACAGCCAGTCCCCACCCTCAAAGATTAGAAAACTAAGATCCAGAGATTAAACAGATCATCTTCGATCACACAGCGAGTTGGTGGAATCTAATTTCCAGCTCATGTTCAGTAGGAGTACTTTTGTTCTGCTCTGTTTCTTGACTTGAGAAAAAAGCTTCATTCTGGAGGGGAGGGAGTTTGAGTGCCAAGGATGAAATTCCATCCATCACTCAGTCTCTGAGCTGCAGGACACGGGCAGGACAATGGGAGGGTTTTCATGCCCCGATCTGCCCTGGAGGTGAGGCTGCTGCACTGGAGCGTGGGCTGGCTGGCGTGTGCCCATTCTGGCACTGCCTGTCCTGTGTCTGTGTGTCTCCATGTCGGCCCTGTGTACTGATTGATTCCAGCCTGCTGAGGCTGCATGTCTGACTCGGTGTTCTTCTCTTTCAGGGAGCACACTGACAGGATGGGAGCTTCCGGGAGGCAGGAGTTCTCCTTCAAGGCCATGCTGACCATCAGCTGGCTCACTCTGACCTGCTTCCCTGGGGTGACATCCGCAGGTGAGCACTGCAAACACTTGGACTTCTGCATCTCATCATGCAAGGCACGGCCCCTCACTGGAGCAAGGCTGCTCTTGTGGGAGCTAGGAGGAGGAGCCGTGTGAGTGGGTCAGGGTGACTGGGCCCCGGCCTGGCCTTACTCAATTCCTTGGTCCCCAGCACGTTTCATCCTGGGCTTCAGTTTCATCATCCACAAAATGAAGGAGCTGGACTAGAATCAGGGGTTGCAAACGCAGTGTCTGCAGGAGCCAGGCACCTGATACAAATGAATGAAGCTCACCAGGTAGGGGCAGTGGTCAGATGGAGAGCTGAGGCCCTTTTATAGGGAAACACTTTTCTCTGTTCTAGCCGACCGTGAGGGACAGGGACAATGTTACCGTTTCAGAAGGGGTTCAGTGCTGTAATCTTATCACCATTGATTGCTCTTTTATTGATGCTCTTTTTATGTTCATTGAGCTTGATGATTTTCTATAATAAGAATAGAGAACCTTACACTGAATTTATATTTTGGTTTTTTTTTCACCCACTGATAGAAGAAAACAATCAATAACTAGTGAAATTCCTTCACTGTGATTTCTTAAAGAACTTTTCTGATTCTTAGGGGACATGTTCTTTTGAGACACGGTCTCACTCTGTTGCCTAGGCTGGAGTGAAGTAATATGATCACTGTTCAGTGCAGCCTCTACCTCCCTGGACTCAAGTGATTCTCTCATCTCAGCCTCCCTAGTAGCTGGGACCACAGGTGCATGCCACTATGCCTGGCTATTTTTAAAAATTTTTAGTAGAGACAGTGTCCCACTATATTGTCCAGGCTGGTCTCGAACTCCTAGGCTCAAGGGATCCTCCAACTTCAGTCTCCCGAAGTGCTGGGATTACAAGTGTGAGCCACCATGCCCAGCCAGTAGTCAGTATTTTAACTTTCCAGGCGATGATTGGCTGTATTACCTGAATTCATTCATTTGTCCTTTTCTCGTTTATTGAATTAACAAACACAAAGTGGGCATTGACTCTGTGCCAGGAACTGGGTTTGGGTCTATCTTTTAGGGTGGCTTACTCTAAAGGTGTCCCACCTTGGAGGGGTGCCCTCAGGTACTTCTCTTGATTGTTTCCTCCCACATCCTGGCACCTCTTTTGCTGTTTGCATATCAACCATGTGGAAAGGGGCTGAGCCTCTGGTTCCATCTGGCCTGTGCTTTTCTCTGACATCAGAGGGATGTAGACGCCAGCCCTTGCCATTCATGCTCCAAGTAGGTCGGGCTTGCACTCCCTCTCAATCCTGCTTCAAGCGGCACCTCCTGGGAAAGTGAGGGTGGTTGCCATGGTGATATTTCAGCGAAAGCCCTGGCCCTCTTTAGCCACTCACTGATTCATACAAATGAAAAACCACTGACACTGGCCTTCACCAACAGCAAAACGTCCAGCTGCAGAAAAGGAGTGTCCATTCAAGGCCAATCTTACATCTGCTGTGCTTCAGCTGTGGTATCAGAGCTTCTGGAGAGCGGGGATGTGTGCTCACACAGGTCAGACTGACCACCTCCAAATCCAAATGCAAACTATATTCAAACTGCTGCCCTTGGAGAGTGAAAAGGGCAGTCAGGATTGTCCTGGCAGATGTGGACTATGCAACCTCAAGGCTTTGTCCAGTGGAGTTGCAGTGGCTCCTTCCCAGCATGCTCATGGCTTCTTGCCCGGACTACTGCGATCCTCAGTTGGCCACATATGTTTCCCACATGGCTGGAAATTCACCACCTTCAAGCCTGATACTTTCGTCCAGGACTTGATGGAAGGAAGCCCAGCACCTCTGACTGGCCTCTCCTGGAAGCCAGCTAAGCACCTGACCCTGTCTGGAGACAAACCCAGCAGTGGGCTTCACAGCACAGCCGTCGTGACCACCCTTGGCTACTCTGTTTCACCGCAGAGAGCCCATCCCACCCCACCGCTGACTAGTCTGATCTTACGTTAAAATGGAAAGTCCACTGATGAGCAAGCCCACAATTGCCCCATTTTTTCCTTGTGTTGCCACTGTTTGAGCCCCTTGGCATTTACAATAGCTGGAAGAGCTACTTTGGTGAAACTCCAAAAAATGTGAAATTCTTTTCTTAATGGAAGAGATCCAAAGCCCGCACTACAGCTGACAGCAAGGCAGAGGGAGCCTAGAGGAGAGTTGTTATGGGGCTGGAAGTGGGGATGGGGGTGAGACCCAGCAAGCGGACACTGAGGACCTACACTCTGCTTTGCAGAGAAGAGAAGGGCCTTCAGGTGGGCAAACAGGACAACTCAGTGTGGGTATGGGGTCCGTATCTGGTGCTGTTGAGTGCAGATGAAGAGGGGACCCCATTCTAGGTTTCCTTGACATCTGTAAATATGGGACAGACACTCTTACTCTGGAGATGGCTGAATACAAACCAAGAAACATTTTGAAGTGACCTGCCCCTAATTGCACTGTATTAGTCCATTTTCTAGAGGCTGATCAAGATACTGAGGCCGGGTAATTTATAAAGAAAAAGAAGTTTGATGGATTCACAGTTCCACATGGCTGGGGAGGCCCCACGATCAAGGTGGAAGGCAGAAGACACATCTTACATGGCGGTGGACAAGAGAAAACAAGAAGGAAGTGAAAGGCGATTCCCCTGATAAAACCATCAGATTTTGTGAGACTTATTCACTACCAGGAGAACAGTGTGTGGGAAACTGCCCCCTTGATTCAATTATATCCCACTGGGTCCCTCCCACAACACGTGGGAATTATGGGAGCCACAATTCAAGATGAGATTTGGGTGGGGACACAGCCAAACCATATCATGCACTGATGCCAGAATCCCTCCCAGGGTTTGTGGCACCCTCTTCGCTCGAGAGACATAGCCTCTCCTAGGCTCCCTTCTGGGGGCCTGAGCTGTGAGCTTGCTTCCATTCCTTTCAGCACCTGCCCCAGAGCTTCTCATCGGAAACCTTGCCTTGCCATGGGCTTACCTGCCCATCACCTTCCCGCCTCCTCATCCCCATCTGGGGTTATTTTGAAAGTGACTGATTCATACTTCATACCCTTCTAGCCACAGGAAAAGAGGGGGCACTGGGGCTTGTTCTCGGAGCCACTTCATTCTCATCTTGTTTTGTCCATTGCCTCTTCCCACCTGTTTTCCCCTGAATTTTTCCATGCTATTGCTGGAGATTGTTCCAGTTTCTGTGACAGTGCCAGTCCTCCTCACTCAAGTCCACCTGGGGACACTGACGGATCAAACTTTATTAGCCATGGGAACACTGTGACTCCTCCCTGTGCTTCTACAGAGATCAGGGAGAAATGTCTCTGCAGTACCTACCCTGGGTCTTTCTAGGCTCAACTAAACATTCAGACTCATTAGGTGACCATATGTCATACTGGTTATCAGATTTTCTTGGAAAATATAGAATGGGACACACAGATGCCATCAGAGCAGCATCAGGCTCCTCTCTTCCATGGGAGTGGTCCTGGCAGTCTTCTGGACACCCATCCAGAAGCTATTCTCTTTGGCTCTCCAGGTGACAGCTCAGGTGAGAGGAAATAAGACTGTCACTGGACAAGTGTGGAGACCACTGTGTCTTAGAGACTTCATGCACCCCTGGAGCCAGTAGCAACTCCATAGATGTAACTTCCAGGATTCTCACAAAATGTGCCATTATAAGAGTCACTGCTCTCAGGGAAGGCTAGAGTGTGACAACTCCACCAGGTATAAATATAAACTATAGTTCCTCCCAGTTTAGATGCCATTCACCAATCAGCGGTCACTTTTGTTATAAAGAATGTTGCTAGGTAACAATTTATATAATACTGTCTTTCTCAGGTTTCCAGTGGAACAGAGCTAGAAAATTAACCAAAGGTCTAATTCTCATGCAGAAAGGGAAAGAGCTTTATTAGCTACTCAAACACTGCTTTCCAGAAGACAGAATGTCTTAGAATCTGAGTAGTCTAGGTAAATCATTGCATAACTTTAGAGCTTTGAATGTCCCAAGAAGTCATTAGGTCTACCCTTTATTTTGTAAATGGGGAAACTGAACCCAGAAAAGCGAACTGACTTATTCACAGATACGTGATAAATATACATGCAAAATATGTGACTGGTCGCCAAGGTTCCGGCCTCTTATGTCAGGAGGTCTCTCAGCTCTCTAGGGTCTTGCTTTTAGCTCTAACAGAGAGGAGGCAGGGGCCTTAAAGGTGCATGGGAGCCCCCTTTTGGCCTGTAGCATTCTTGCTTGGCAAGGCTGGTAGATGGGAGCAGTGACATCTCTCTGTCCTTGGCAGTGGCTGCTGGGTGCCCTGATCAGAGCCCAGAGCTGCAACCCTGGAACCCTGGCCATGACCAAGACCACCATGTGCATATCGGCTGGGGTAGGACACTGCTGCTCACTTCTTCTGCCACTGTCTATTCCATCCACATCTCAGAGGGAGGTAAGCCAATCTCTCTCTGCTCCTCCCCCTTCCCTCCACTGCTTCAGAGCTTAGCAGATAGGATGCAGGTTGCCATGAACTCAGATGGACAGAATAAACATCACATGCTTTGGGTTCGTGTTGGCATTCCGTTGTTTGAGATAACCATCAGCTCAGAGCTGTTAGGAATGGCTCCTTGGAGGTTCAATCTTAGTGAGAGGAGCATTTGTAGAAGAAACACCTTATTGGTGTTTTGAGTAATTCTGCTTATCTTTTCTTTAGAGGCCTGGTCACTGAATGCGGTACATGCAGTGATGGCATTTGACCAGATAGGTGTTATTTACACATTGCAAAGCAGAGAGCAAGAAAAGTAATTACAGCCACCCTCTCTATCTGTGGGTTTTGCATTCATGAATTCAACCAATCCCAGATTGAAAATATTCCACAAAATCTGCATCTGCACCAAACATGTACAGACTTTCTTCTGGTCATTATTCCTAAAAATACTGTTTGACAACTATTTATACAGTATTTACATTAGATTAGGTACCATAAGCAATCTAGAGATGATTTCAAGTATATGGGAGGATGTGCATAGGTTAGGTGCATATATGCAAATGCTGTGCCCTTTGATATCAGGATTGGAGGATCCATGGAGCTTGGTATCTGTGGGAGGTGCTAAAATCAATTCCCTTCAGATACTGATGGATGACTGTGCTTGTAAGCACACCAAGCATAGGAATGTTTGAAAGATGTGCCTTTTTGCCTGCCCCAGTGAGATGGGGGTGCTTAGGGAGTCTGCCTTGGCTCTAATATAAGCTTACCCTTAACACTGTGTTCTTAACCCTTCCCCCAATGCTACGTCTTCAGGCAAGCTAGTTGTTAAAGACCATGATGAGCCAATTGTTTTGCGAACCAGGCACATCCTGATCGACAACGGAGGAGAGATGCATGCTGGGAGTCCCCTCTGCCCTTTCCAAGGCAATTTCACCATCATTTTGTATGGAAGGTGGGTAGACCACTCCTACAGATCAATTGCTACCCATGGATCTGACAAGGGGGAGGCTTTACAAGATGGAGGGGAAGGCAAGAGAGCAAGCCTTGCCTGTAAGATAGGAATCCCAGATGGGGATCATGAACAAGAAAGACGTGGTGACTTGGGATGGAGAAGTCCATGAGGCATATTACATATAGTGGCCTGGATGCTATACTTGTTTTAGAGATGGGCCTGCCATCCTTTCTGCCGCCTTCCAATCATGTTATGTTCAGGGAGGCTTGGCAAGTGTTTATATAATAGGCTATGATGGACAAGATACAAGAAGATTTCATGTGGTACCTGCCCCTGGCTGTGTTCCCTCTTTAAACAGTTGAGAGCGTTAAGAAGTGATAGCCAGGAATGCACAAGGGGGTGCAGTGCATGTCCACGTGATTCTGCGTCTGATATGGACCAAAACATCAAACACTTAGAACTGAAAGGGAAACACGCCAACCTGTGAACTAATCATTGGCACTTCAGCTTGGCCCTCAGGGCTTTATTTTGGTCTGGCTTAGGTAGATCGGGTTGCTAATGTTTTTGCTGCCATTGTTGTTTTGAGACAGAGTCTTGCTCTTTGGCCCAGGCTGGAGGGTAGTGGCATGATCTCAGCTCACCACAACCTCTGCCTCCTGGTTCAAGCAATTCTGGTGAGTCAGCCTCTGAAATAGCTGGGACTACAGGTGTGTGCCACATTGCCTGACTGATTTTTGTATTTTTAGTAGAGATGGAGTTTCACCGTGTTGGCCAGGCTGGTCTCGAACTACTGATCTTAAGTTATCTGCCCACCTGGGCCTCACAGTGCTGGGATTACAGGCATGAGCCACCGTGCCCAGCCATTAGTGTTATTTTTACTGACCTAAGTGATGAAAGTGTGACTAGCTCTATGGTGGCCATGGTGGGGGTCAGCGAGGTGTGACTCCTAGGTTCCCTCTCGGTTCAGCATCCAGCCAAAGGATGTGCCAGCCAACTTTGGGGACTTGTTTTCTCTTGTAGGGCTGATGAAGGTATTCAGCCGGATCCTTATTACGGTCTGAAGTACATTGGGGTCGGTAGAGGAGGCACTCTTGAGTTACATGGACAGAAGAAGCTCTCCTGGACATTTCTGAACAAGACCCTTCACCCAGGTGGCATGGCAGAAGGAGGCTATTTTTTCGAAAGGAGCTGGGGCCATCGCGGAGTCATTGTTCATGTCATCGACTCCAAATCAGGCACAGTTATCCATTCTGACCGGTAAGGTTTGCCTTCACTTAAACGTATACTCATTCATTCAGAGTACACTTACTGAGTGTGCTCCCTGGCCAGGTGCCACTCTAGGTGTTGAGAGAACAGCAATCAATGAAACAGATGGGAATCCCTGCCTTCAAGGAGTCCTGTCCTTCCCCAGGTGTTTGCCTAATAATGCTGAATTAATGAGGAGCAAGCATGCACACATATGTACACACAACATAGTTTCAGATCGTGATCATTGGTAGTAGGCGGGGGAAAGACAGTGAGATGCTAGAGTGTAACTAGGGAAGACCACTTTAGATAGGGTGGTCAGGGAAAGGCAGTGTAAAGAAGCAACATTTGAGCTGAGAAATGCAGGGTATATGTCAGGGAAAGAGTGTTCAAGACAGAGAGCAAGTGCAAAGGACCAGTGGTATGAAAAGGCATGACATTCTCAAAGGACGGGAAGACCGCCAGAGCCACAGGAGCACAGTGGGTAGTGGAAGAGCAGCACACAGTCACATCACATGGGAGTCACAAATCCGGGCAGGGCAGGACCTTGTAGGCCGCGATGAGGAGGTGGTTTTTCTTCTAAGTGGGAAGCAAAGTCACTGAAAGCCTTTAAGAGGGGCATAATCTGATTTAAAATAATGTTCTGGCTGCTGTTGGTAAAGATTGGTTTTAATCATGGAGGCAAAAGCAAAGACCTTGCAGGGGGTTAGGAAGCTTCTCCTGTGGTCTAGGCAGGACATGGTGGTGGTGAAGACCTGGAAGCAATGGCGGTTAGTGGGTGTACCTGAGAGATGTTTGGAGGGCAACATGGGCAGGTGTAAGCTGGCAGATTCTGCCGAGGCTAGACCTGCCCTACAATCCCAGGGGTTTTCATCCTGGCCCTACAGAGGGAAGGACAGAGGTGGGGTAGACAAGTAGAGACAGAGCTATCCTGGGGCTGCTGGGGGAGGGAGTCAGGCGCATTCCTCAAGAACAGGGTCCAAGCCATGGGTGTCACCATGAAGGCAGCAGGAGCCAGCTGCAGTCAGGGGCAGGGTGGGCAAGAACTAAAGAGCTTGCCGGTGCTCACAGACACCCAACCTTGCCGGTAAATATTAGTAGCTATAATGCAGTCACTAGACTTTCTCCCTGCAAAACACCGTTCATCACTTCACCTGTCAAATGTACTTTGATCTTCATCAAAATTCTGTGAGGAAGGTTCTGTCATTATCCACCTTAAACAGTTGAAAGCACTGAGGCTCACAGGGCTAAGTTTACTCAGCCACAAGATTGAAAAGTGTTGGAGATGGGATTCAAACCCAGGTGTGCCTGTATCGCCTCTATGGGCTGCCTGGTGACAGCCATTTGCCTTGTCCTGAGCCTGAGCTAGCCTGAGCCTATAGATAACAGCTGATGCCTTGATTGACACAAAGTATGTCAGAGAGCCCTTGCCTTCATAGTAGAGAGGATGGCCTCTTCAATTGTGCACTGATCTTTTTGGTGCTGTATTTTAAGTAAGTACAACACTGTGACTTGAGAGATCCAATTTAAAGTTTATGTACTAGCCTGATAATGAGAAGTGATCTGGACAGAGGCTGTGGAGATGGCATGGACAGAACGCCTGCTTGTTGCAAATATCTTTTACCTAAAGTATGTGCTGGAGGCCTCAATAATGTGATAGATAAATGTGTATGAGTAAAGATATTAGGGCCGGGAGTGGTGGCTCATGGCTGTAATCCCAGCACTTTGGGAGGCCAAGGCAGGTGGATCACAAGGTCAAGAGATTGAGACCATCCTGGTCAACATGGTGAAATCCAGTCTCTACTAAAAATACAAAAAAACTTAGCTGGGCATGGTGGCACATGCCTGTAATCCCAGCTACTCGGGAGGCTGAGGCAGGAGAATTGCCTGAACCCAGGAGGCGGAGGTTGCTGTGAGCCCACATCACCGCATTGCACTCCAGCCTGGGTAACAAGCACAAAACTCCATCTCCAAAAAAAAAAAAAGATATTAATAAGCACATACATGCACACAGGTAAATGCAGGCTGAGAAGGTTACAGGAAGGCCAGGCGCAGTGGCTCACGCCTGTAATCCTAGCACTTTGGGAGGCCGAGGTGGGTGGATCACGTGAGGTTAGGAGTTCAAGACCAGCCTGGCCATCAGGGTGAAAGTCCATCTTATAAAATAAAATAAAATAAGATAAGATAAAATAAAATAAAATAAAAAGAAGGTTACAGGAGCAGGAACTTAGGTCAGCTCTTGAAAGGTAGTAGGTGTTTGATCAGGTAGAGAAAAGGAGAGAAGGAATGATGAAGGCAGAGTGGGCTAGTGGGGTGGTCACTGGGCACCGAGAAGCACTCAGCTTGCAGCAGAGCTTTCTGGGGAGGGACAGTGGAGGGTTTGCAAGGTGAGGTGGGGTTGGACCAGATTGTGCCAACAGTTGAAAACAAGTGTGAGGACCCAGGAGCACCTATCTAGCTACACCAGTACCAACACTGTTTTTCTTTTCCAGAAACCCCCTTAAATTATTTTTCCAGATTCACTTTAGAACTATGTTCCTTAAGTTCCAAGACATATTCTTTAGGAATTTCCATCATAATTGCACAAAATCTTTATCCTTACATGGGGGAAAGTTGGAGTCATTACAAAATTGTGTCTTTGCTTCATAAATTCTTCTCACCAGAGGTACAGATTTTCTGTGTATGATTTTTATTTTGTGAATATTTTATGTGTATGAGTATAGGTTATCTGTTAATTTGGAGATGATCAGTTCTTACTATTATGAGATCTGCTGTGTAACATTGCACAATACTATACAGTACACTTAAAATTTTAAGAGGGTAGATCTCAAGGTAGGTGTTCTTACCGCAATAAAGTAAAATAATTTTTAAAAAGTAAATGGGAGAAAATAGCAATGCAACAACATTTGCAATACTCAAATATTATGTGACTGCTACTGTGTGAATCAGAGATTATATTTTAATGATTCTAAGATGCGTTATCATAAGAATCCTTAACAGGTCAATAAATAAACTTTCTTTTTTTTTTTTTTTTTTTAATAAAGACAGGGTTTCACCATGTTGGTCAGGCTGGTCTTGAACTCCCGACCTCAGGTGGTCTGCCCGCCTTGACCTCCAAAGTGCTTGGATTACAGGCATGAGCCACCATGCCCAGCCAATAAATAAACTTTAAATTGGATCTCTGCAAGTCTCTTTGCAAGCTGCTCTGGGGTGGGATAAGGGATTTAGGATACTCTCCATGTCATCTCCAGGAATTCTGAGATTGCTGTTTTAGTCTGGATCAAAGATACACATTCCTAACGCCCTAGCTATCTGAACTATCTCTAAAAGCCAGGCTCTTGCAAGAGGCATGATCCTCTGCCTCCAGGATGAAAGGGGAATACCAAAAGTCCTAGACCTCAAGTATGTGACCCACTCAACACCCTGGAGCCTGAAGTCTCCACTGGTACAATCATTTCTTTGGCATTTTACTCAGCGAATGAACATTATGGTCAAATCCCTTCTGCTTGGATATCATTGTATGGTATGCAAAATAATTAAACTTACTTGTTCTTTAAAGAAGCGGCTTCCTTCTTTTTTTTTTTTTGAGACGGAGCTTCGCTCTTGTTACCCAGGCTGGAGTGCAATGCCGCGACCTCAGCTCACCGCAACCTCCGCCTCCTGGGTTCAGGCAATTCTCCTGCCTCAGCCTCCTGAGTAGCTGGGACTATAGGCATGCACAACCGTGCCCAGCTAATTTTTGTGTTTTTAGTAGACACGGGGTTTCATCTTGTTGACCAGGATGGTCTCGATCTCTTGACCTCATGATTCACCCACCTCGGCCTCCCAAAGTGCTGGGATTATAGGCGTGAGCCACCACGCCCGGCCGCAGCTTCCTTCTTTAAGAATTGCAGACCCGGGGATCTCGGATAGCATGTTAGCTGTTGCAGCACAGGCTTGTGCTTAGAGCTCTCTTTTTTGACTGCTGTCAAGACTATTCAAATCTCTTCTCTCCACCCTTTTTAGATTTGACACCTATAGATCCAAGAAAGAGAGTGAACGTCTGGTCCAGTATTTGAACGTGGTGCCCGATGGCAAGATCCTTGCTGTTGCAGTGAATGATGAAGGTTCTCGAAATCTAGATGACATAGCCAGGAAGGCGATGACCAAATTGGGAAGCAAACACTTCCTACACCTTGGGTTTAGGTACTGCCCCTCACTTCGGCCGCCACTGGGCTCTGGAATACTGAAGCCACCCTATCCTACTGAGAATGTACCTTTCCCATCTCCTGTCCCCACAGCCACACCATCCTGAATGACCTAGTGGATGCAGGGATTGACATCTGCATTTGATATGTTTGGAAATTATTCTTAAAGAAAGCTTGTTTTTTCTTACAAGCATAGTTCATTCATAAAACACAAAAGCTCTCTGTTTATATGAGCTCGTTCATTCAGCCAGCCACTTACAAAATGCTACCTGAGCACCTACTGTGTGCAACAGCCATGTCTCTGATGCGCAGCTAATATTCATTTTCCCTTTGGGAAGGGGCTCATGTCATGGTGTGGGGATTGGCAGACAGTTTTTGAGAAATTCTGTGAAGTGTCTCCGCTGAGCCAAATGCCCAAGGAGAAGCGGCCCTTTGCCATGTTCTAGTGTGTGCTGTGTTTGCCTTGGAGTGCAGCATCATGTCTGACATTGGCATGCATGCACATCGGCACCAGGAGGGGGCTGGTGGCCCCATAGTAAACACGCCTTTTTAGAAAAATCTAATTTAAAGTTCCGGGATACATGTGCAAGACGTGCAGGTTTGTTGCACAGGTAAACGTGTGCCATGGTGGTTTGCTGCACCTATCAACCCGTCATTAAGCCCAGCATGCATTAGCTGTTCTGATGCTCTCCCTCTCCCTACCCCACTCTGCCAGGCCCCTCCCTGTGTGTTGTTCCCCTCCCGGTGTCCATAGCAGAAACGCCTTTTTGTCATGTTGAATCAAATCTGGGCTCAGTGGAAAGTTGAGGTTATCTGTCCCATGGCCGTTTGGAGATTACCATGCTCCTCCCTTCAGCTTCCCACTTCTGGGGGCAAGAGGAGAGGCAAGCCAGAGACTTTTCTGGGCTTGGAGCAAAGCAGTTTTGCTGGCTAAGCAGAAACGCCCTGGGCTAGGGAGGGGTGCTGCAGGTTCCAGTGTGCATTCCGACAGCCCAGAGACAACTTCTCCTGGACGGGAAACTCGAGCAGGAAACTTTAGCAGCCAAAGATGACAATGATACCTTGGAATCATAAGGCTCCTTTGTCTGGAAATATTAATTGCACTTCCATTCTGTTGTTTTATAAATCAAAAGGCCAGTCTATTAATTTACAGTGAGCTAGAAACACCAGGGAACTGACTACTTAGAGCCTCAGCAGCAGAAGAAAGTGGCTGAGGGCCCAAGTTCTGGCATCCGGTGGCCTGAGTTTGAGCCTGGGTTGCGCCTCCTAGGAGGGGTGACTGCAGGCAAAGGACTCATTCTCTGCCTGGTCCTACGTCTGTAAAATGGGATAATTAAATGTGATAATATGAGCAAAATATTTGTCATCACGTCTGGCACAGAATAAGCACTCCAGAAATGTTAGCAACTATTTTCTCCTTATAAACAAGAGCCACTGGAAAGACGGGCACTCACCATCTTTTGCCCATCTGTTCAAATGGGTAAAGGAGGTACGTAGGCAGAAATCACATTTCCACGCCTCATTTGTATAGAGACACTCTTCGAGTGAGAAACTTAAAGGCATCTAAAATTAGTAGGAGAACTGAGACTTGGACCCTTCATTTGTTCACCCATTCGAGAAATGGTTATTGAACACATAAGGTGGGAGATACCTGGTTAGACCAGGTGTTCTGAGCTCTCAGAGGAAGGCAGATGTGAATGGAAATTGATGATGAGGCATGAGAGCAAGAGAGTGGGCAAGGGGAGTTTCGTGCAGACACACGCGTGAGGATGAGGCCCAGCAGGTCCCATAGAGAGACCAGAAGCTTTGGAGGCCAAGGGGCAAAAGAGTGGCTCTCCCGAAGAAGGTGGGGATGGCCAGGCAGTGGCAGTATGCGAGAGAGGGCAAGGGGTAAGAGGTGAGGCTGGAGGGTGGGGGCAGAGGGCCTTTGACTGTGCCAACGAGTTGGACTTTATTCAAAGGGCAATGGGGAGCTACTGAAGGTTTTAGGCAGGAGAGTGGGCAGTCAAATCCCCAGCCTCGGTTAAACACCATTCAGCAGTGACCCACTTTCCAAGACAAGAGACCAAAACAATAATGAGAGCCATTCAGCACGAAAATCGATTGATAGCTTATAGTGAGAGAGAGCTACTGTGGAGGAGGAAAACCTCTTTCCTTCTACTCTTCTAAGTCCTTGGCTGGAGCACCAGTAACAAATCGCTGATTAACAGGAGAACAGCACACAAACATATTTCAGATGGCAAGTTTTACACGACATGGGAACCTTCATGAGGAAACCAGGACCCAAAGAAACAGTTAAACTGAGTGTCGGTACACAAGGTTTGATGAAGCGGAGAGTTGTGGGGAAATGTGATAGGACAGAATTGAGCCAAGCACAGTAAACAGGGAAAACTTAGCATGGTCTGTTCCTGCAGATTCCTCTTGGCTTCCTTCTGCCTTTGGGAATCGGAGACTATGCTGTCGTGACTATCCTACCGTGACTGACTACCCTAGCCATCTGCCTTTGGGGATAAGGAAGGCCCCTCTCACATAAGGGTTTTGGACCTGCTTCAGGGGAAAGTCAGAAACTCCTTCCTGCCATTTCTCAAATTCCATGAGCTTGAAGTATTCAATATGCCAAGCTGCCATTTTTGGGGGTAGCATCTCCTGAACCCCACTATTGCATTAGGCATAATACAAAATGCCTAAGACAAATGGGGTAAGAAAACCTTCCTGCCCTAAAGCAGCAGATGCTTGCATGAAGGAAAGATGGGTGTACAATTTTTCAAAACCTTAGATCTTCTTTTTCACCTTCCCTCCCCATTAACAAGAGACATTTCTCTCCTTTCCAAGGCCCAAGGCAGATGGTCAGTCACGTTAGCCTCTGATATTTTCCTCGAGCTCAACTCCAGGGGAGCTGAGCATGTTCTCTCTTGGAATGTGTTTTCCTAAAGGTATCCAGGCACTTGCTCTGGGACATAACTGAGCTTGGCAGGTGGTGTGGTAGGTCTGTTGGCTTGTTTGTTTATTTGTGATTCATACTCCCATCTTCTGCCAGAATGGAGCTGAACAGGCTCACAAGAAGCAGACACCAGGCAGGCCAGGCAGCGGCTTGCAAAGAAAGGTGCTTCTCCTTCTGGAGAAGAGAAGCCCAGAGAGTGAATGAATTTCCCCCAAACAGCAGGGAGGGACGGAAGGATGCTCTTCAACCTGATGCTGCTTCAACTCTGCCCTCCCCCCACCCCACACCCCGTGCAGGTTCAGACTCGTGAATAACTTTACTCTTTGTTTTCTTCTTTTTTTCAGACACCCTTGGAGTTTTCTAACTGTGAAAGGAAGTCCATCTTCTTCAGTGGAAGACCATATTGAATATCATGGTAATGAATAGCTGACTAGAGGCCTGATTCCCTCCAGTGTGTCTCTGACCAAGTGTTGCAGGGTTTTGCTGAACAGCCCACTTTTCTCCGAGCATGAATGCCCAGCTCCCAACACCTAGATGAGTGAGCAGACACTTAACTGGCCACCTTACATGGATGTGGCAAAGAGCTGGCCCAAGGCCCATCACTTGCGATAATATTTACCTTTTCATGAAAGTCTTCATTGCTTAATCTAAAACCTAGAAGTGGCATAGAAAAGATGAGAATTCAGTGGCTCACGCCTGTAATCCCAGCACTTTGGGAGGCCGAGGCAGGTGGATCATGAGGTCAAGAGATTGAGACCATCCTGGTCAACATGGTGAAACCCCGTCTCTACTAAAAATACAAAAAAGTAGCTGGCATGGTGGCGCGTGCCTGTAATCCCAGCTACTCAGGAGGCTGAGGCAGGAGAATTGCCTGAACCCAGGAGGCGGAGGTTGTGGTGAGCTGAGATGGTGCCATTGCACTCCAGCCTGGGTAACAAAAGCGAAACTCCGTCTCAAAAAAAAAAAGAAAGGATGATAAGTGGGATAGACCCAACAAGGGTGGTACTTTAAGAGCTAAAACCAGGCCGGGTGCAGTGACTCACGCTTGTAATCCCAGCTCTTTGGGACGTCGAGGCAGGCGGATCAGGAGTTCGAGGCCACCCTGGCCAATATGGTGAAACCTGGTCTCTACTCAAAATAAAAAAAATTAATAAAAGTAAATTAGCCAGGCATGGTGGCTGGTGCCTGTATTCCCAGCTACTTGGGAGGAGATCACGCCAGTATACTCCAGCCTGGGCTACAGAGTGAGGGTCCATCTCAAAATAAATTCTAAAAAGAGCTAAAACGACACTTTAGATGGGCTTTCAGGACACAGTGGGAGCCTCCTTTGCCCAGCGCAGGCTGAGGGCAGTGCCGCAGCTCTAACGCCCAGGAGGAATTCAGCCCGTGAGACATGCTAGAGCTCTACAATCTGAATTTGTTCGGAGGCTGGAACTAAACTTTCAAAATGGACACAAAAGAATGGACAATAATCTGTTTCCCAAGTGAATTAACATCTTGATTTTCTTTTATTTACCTAAAAAAATATTTGTAAATAAATGAGTCAGTGTCCGTGTGTGTAGGGGGTTTCCTTGCCTTGGAATTACAACTTTTTGAGTCTGGGGGCCTGTCCAGTTCCTAAAGCGTCTGGTTTCTCTGACAGGACACCGGGGCTCTGCCGCTGCCCGAGTATTCAAATTGTTCCAGACTGAGCATGGCGAATACTTCAATGTTTCTTTGTCCAGCGAGTGGGTTCAAGGTGAGGCGTCTCAGACAACTTGGTGACACTAACACTGGGACAGAAGACCAGAAATCAGTGTCTTTGCTATAAGAACTAGATTTGTCTCATAGCAGTCGGACCACTGTAACTTTTGCAGGATCAACCAAAAATGTGCAGCTGAGAGTTGTCTTTAATTAATCAAGCCACTTTAGCCCATAACCCAAAAGGGTGTTCTCCCCTGGTTAAGATTTGAATTTCATCTCAGCTGGGGTCTGTGGCATTCAGCTTAGTTCACAGAATATCTTTGATGTGCCAGGCAATGGCACTGAACAGGAAACACAGGTAGGAACGGAACCTGCCCCTCAAATAGCCCACACGCAGGGACTCCAGAAAACAGCAATCCCAGTTGCAGTCCTTGGATGATGGATTTACAGATGGGTTTTCTTTTCTCTTTATTTGCTTTTGCGATAACCAAGAATATAAATTTTACATTAAGAGAAACTCATTTTTTTAATTAAAACATGGGAGAATAGGCAGATTGTTGAGAGCCACCCAAGCCCCAGCCTGGTGCAACCACGGACACAAAATATTCAGTTCCCGGTGTGCCAAGGATGCCAGGAGACCACATTGAGTGTGACTTGCCCTCACAGGTAACTTCTGTCTGACTCTGCTGTTTGCTTTTTGCCTAGATGTGGAGTGGACGGAGTGGTTCGACCACGATAAAGTATCTCAGACTAAAGGTGGGGAGAAAATCTCAGACCTCTGGGCAGCTCACCCGGGAAAAATCTGCAATCGTCCTATTGATATACAGGTACCAAACTCACAGCAAAAATAGAAAATAGAAATGTGCTGTTTTGAAGAAAACTCTATAGATTACAGACATTCTTGTCACTTGGGTGTTGTGATTGTCATGGCCCTCCTGTGAGGTAAGTCAGCCGAAGAGTCCCGCACCCACTTCAGAGACTGAAGCGGAGGCTTGCTATCTGTCCAAGAGTGAGGGCTGATTCTCTCCTGAGTCCAGCTTCTGAGTTCTTTCTCTTTAACGTGCTTCTTCAGCCATGGCTGAGAGTGCCCCCGCCGCAGGGATGGGTTTGGCCTGCCCAACCTCACTTCCCAGTTGATTTCCTTAGGGACCTTGAGTGCACAGGATGCAGCTAGGATTTGGGGTACAGGCCAGGCCAGCCCAGATGGAGAACACACGCACAGCCTTGTTCTTGACTGAGCTAAATCAAAGCCAGCATTCATGGAATGGACAGTGTTTGCTCAAAATCTTCACTTGGAGTTAATTCCATCTGAAGGGGACCTTGATGTTCTCGGCTGCATCCAGAAAGTGTTGAGTAAATACACGGCCTCATAATTCACCAGCTAAGCCAGTGGGGTACTGAGCGTTGGGCACAACAGGAGAGGCAGGAGAAATAGGCAAGGTAAATGAGACTCACTTCCTTATGCCCAGTCTTGTTCTAAGACAAGATCTGAGGCTGCTTAAATGCTTGATGGAGAATTAGAAGCCACTGGAGCCAGGCTCAGTAGATCATGCCCATAATCCCAGCACTTTGGGAGGCCGAGGTGGGCAGATCATTTGAGGTCAGGAGTTAGAGACCAGACTGCCCAACATGGTGAAATCCCCTCTCCACTAAAAATATGAAAAAAAAAAAAAAAAATCACCTTGGCATAGTGGTGGGTGCCTGTAATTCCAGCTACTTGGAGGGCTGAGGCAGGAGAATTCCTTGAACCCAGGAGGTGGAGGTTTGCAGTGAGCTGAGATAGCACCACTGCACTCCAGCCTGGGTGACAGAGCAAGACTCCGACTCAAAAAAAAAAAAAAAAAAAAAAAAAAAAACTGGCATTTGAGAAAGGCCATCCCCGCCCACATTACCTCCTTTAGCCAATAAAAATAGCGACCACATGTGTACAACACTTTTTCCTAGAATCTTGAAGCTCAAGTCCCAGGTCAGCTCGGGTCCCAGGCCATCTGTCTGCTTTCAGCCAGCTGCGCCATCCTGGGCAGAACTAACTTCTACCCTCTGCGTTGCATCGTAGGAAGGACCACGTATCCAAGGGAGGATCCTCTGTTCTGCACTTAGCAAAGGCTGGAGAAAACTTTCTCATTCTTTGGCTAAGGCTCTTTCCTTCACATGGTTTCGATGTTATTGAGAAGGATTTACCCAGATTAAGTTGCAAGTCGCAGATTCTCCTTGGGTCCAACAGAATCAAAAAGCACTGATCCCCCATAGCACATACTTTCCAGATTTAATTTTAATTTTCTCTCGTAACCTTGAACATTCCAGCTTTAATTCTGAAATAGCCATAATCTTATCCCTCCAGTTCACTTGACCACAGGAAGTCTAGCTCTTTAGCAATATCCCCTCTCCAAAGACTTCTGGAAATGCTCAAGGAATGCTTACATGGTCTACAAATCTCTCCTGGTGTTTGCTCGGCCAGCCGCCTGGCTCCAGACACTGTTGATTGGAAGACCACCTCTCAGTGCCAGGAAAACAGCGTTTCTTAGACATTTCCCATTCTTGCATTTACTTTGCTCTTAGCACAGATGCAGGCGCTTCCTTGAGTGTCCCAAAACACACAATTAAACCAAGGCTGAGAGCTCCGTAAGCCAAGACCCATCGTGGGGACCCAACCCTACCCTCCGTAACTATTAGTCTGTTGCCATATTGCAAGACCTAGTTCTCTTCCAACGAAAAGAGTCCCCTTGGCAAGACATTCCCCGAGTTCAAGTTCTTCATTATTTGAGGTCCAGAGAATAAAAGACCCAACAGCAGTGTGGTCCCCTACTCAGGGGCTTAGGCCAGTCTTCCCACAATGAAAGCATTCAGAACTCCCAATTCCATAATAAGACCTTTGGATTTTTCTTGGCAAAACCGAGGTCTACTGAGTTGGTCATCTAAAAGGCAAGAGTCATGTGCCTCCAATGGTGAAGTCAAACCTCCATCTCTACTGAAGAGAAGGTGTTGCCACGCTGGAGAGATTAGGCTTATTCCTAATTCTTGCCACGAATCTTTCACCAACGGTCATCCCCAGACTTAGCTAGAGGATCTCTTGATATCCATCGAAGGTAAAAATGGTGATGTAGAATATGCTCCTGGATGTTTCTAAAACCAGAAAAAGCCAGTCTTGTCTGTGCTCACAAGAGGTGAGAGAAGCAGGATTTCCTCCTTTTTAGAAGCTGACGAATGCATTAGCCAAAAGCTGAATGCCCCTGTTAATTAACCCAGGGAGAGACTGAAATGAAACAGAACTTCCCACGTGCTCATTTTTGCCACAGTTGCCAAAATGCAGTTTTCTCTGGTCCTCTGGTGCCTCTCACCTCCCCGATCCTGAGCTCTTACGTGCTCCTCTTCCTGCTTGTGCCTGCCCCCAGTGACCAGCTCCGTGCCGTACACAGTGAGTCCCGGGATACCTGCCACTCGCTGACATAGTCAGAGCCTCTGGGCCAGGGAGTGTCAAGGACATTTGCAACCTAGGCAAGATTGGAGGAGGCAGGTTGGGAAGAAAGAGGAAGTAGGAAGACTGCATAGTTGACCTCAAGAAAAACTTTTCCAAGATCTGATATTTTGTGATTCTGAAAAAAAAAAAAAACAGTAACAGAAACACACTGTTTCTATGTCTTGCCCTTTGTTCAGTTCTCCTTGGCTGAAAATTCTCTTGCCTTTCACCTTCTCTGTTAAAACCCAGCTACCCTTCAAGGCCAGTGGGATCTGCTGGACCCAGATTTCCTTGAGGGACATCAGGCAGTCTATGTGTTCCCCACAGCAGCCAGTGCAGTGGCTGGAGGTCAGCCCGATGGTAACAAAAACATATTTTGAAGCCAGAGAGATCTCAGTTGGCCAAAGAGATCGCAGCTCCACCACTTGTGGGCTTTGGTATATCAGGAAGGCATCCACAGTGCAGAATTTAAGAAAGCCCGCTCTTCCCAGTGCCCACTCTGCACTTCGCATGACCCTAAGAGTGGATTTTAAATTAAATTTTGTGCCCTGGGTGCGTCACTCACAGTCTTGTTACTTAGTGCCTCAGTTTCCTCACATGTAAAACTAGGGATAATAATCATTTCCTCATGGGCGTGTTTTGTGGATTCTATGCAATGAAATGGGCAAACTAAAAGTGGCCCATAAATTTTTTATTATTGAAAACTAATTTATTGGCAAGACACGGTGGCTCATGCCTATAATCCCAACATTCTGGGAAGCCAAGGCAGGTGAATCAACTGAGGTCAGGAGTTTGAGACCAGCCTGGCCAACATAGTGAAAACACATCACTACCAAAAATACAAAAATTAGTGGGTGTGGTGGCAGGTTCCTGTAATCCCAGCTACTTGGGAGGCTGAGGCAGGAGAATCACTTGAACCCAAGAGGTGGAGGTTGCAGTGAGCCGAGACGGTACCACTGTTCTCCAGCCTGGAAGGGGTGAGACTCTGTCTCAAATCAATAAATCAATAAAATACAATGAAATAAATTTATAATTAGTTATCATATTGATAATTATTATTATCAGAAATAACAGTAAACTCGGTCTACTTAAAAATCTGTTTCTCTGAATTATGGTGGATTCCTTTTTACTGTTCTTCTCCAAAACTGAGGTCACTCTTTAGGATGAAAAAGGAAAAAAGGAAAAGCAGCAGAATTGGGTAGAAGCTCTCGTGAAATTACTTTTGGATGTCGTACCTGGAGAAGTCTCCAGCCCATTCCGTGGTGCTCTCGGGCTCAGTTCTCCATCTCGTGGCGTCTCCCACTGATGACCTTGCTTGCCTCAGGGGAACATGTCAGGAGGCCCTAGGAGTCAGGCTTACCTTAACTGACCTGACTTACACCTGAACCCCTCTGAGCATCAGCATTGACCTCCATCTAAAAGCGAGTTTGCAACCCTGTCTCTGGCTGTTGCAGAGACCATCTGAGATAGTGGGTGTGAGTGTGTTTTTTGCAGGAAATGGCTGAGTTTTCATTGTGGCCGAACTCACATCCACATGGCTCTCCTCCTAAGCCAAAGATAACGGATCTGCTGGGTTCAGAACAATGTTTCCTAAAAAGTCTCCTCTCTTTCTTGATCAGCTGTGCTTTCCTTCCTTTGGTCTCTATGCCAAACATGACAACAGCTGCAGCCCTTGCTCTAAATTGCATGTCTCTGAATGACAGTCACGGTCAGGATGCAGACACACCCTGGCTCTGGGACAGGCCCCAGCTGGCAAGGATCGTGCCCTCCTGGTAGGGAGGAGAATTGCTCCCTAAATTATCCACCTGGCCTTGTGGCTGCTCACCAGCCAGCCCTCATCCACGGAAACCTCACTCTATGCCAGACCCTGGGCTGAATGCTGGGGACAAGGGGGCAAAAACCTGCTCCTTGCCCTCCCAGAGCCCACTATGTAGTGGGAAGAGGCAGACATTTGAACAAAGGACAGTAGGTGGCTCGCGCCTCAGGGCAAGAGTGGGTGGGGCTTAGAAGTATTGCATTGTAGTTACATAAGTCTGGGTTCAAGTTTTAGCTCTGCCACCACCTGGCTTTGTGATCCCAGGTAAGTGACTGAACCTGTCTGAGGATCAGTTTCCTTATCTGTAAAACTAACAGCAGCCTCATAGTTTTGCTATGAAGATAAGATGAGATGATATAGGTAAACATCTCACTTTATAACTGCACAAGTGGTTCTCAAACTTTGTTGCCTATTAGAATCACCTGGGCAACTTTTAAAAGTCCAGATGCCCACCGGGCACGGTGGTGTGCCTGTAGTCCCAGCTATTCAGGAGGCTGTGGTGGGAGGATCGCTTGAGCCCAGGAGTTCTGGGCTGTAGTGTGCTATTCTGATCGGGTGTCTGCACTAATTTCAGCATCAATATGGTGATCTCCAGGGAGGAGGAGACCACCAGGTTGCCTAAGGAGGGGTGAACCATCCCAGGTCGGAAACGGAGCAGGTCAAAACTCCCGTGCTGATCAGTAGTGGGATTGCACCTGTGAATAGCCACTGCACTCCAGTCTGGGCAACATAGCGAGACACCGTCTCTTTAAAAGAAAAAAAATCGTAAAAAATATCAAAGTTTAAAAAGAATGAAGTAAATTTTTTAAATGATCAAAAAAAAAAAAAAAAGTCCAGATGCCTGTGCCGCACCCCAGACACAATCAAATCTGAGACTCCAAGGATGGCCTGGGCATGAGCATTTTTTAAAGACTTCCCCATGGGATGCGGAACCACATTGGGACCGCTGGCTCCCAATGTTCTTGGTGCTGCAGTGGTGGTGTGGGTTATAAAACGTGGTGTGCCCAGATGCTAAAAGAGCGCCCACTTGTTCTAGATGCCCTGTAAAATGTTCGCCCAGCCATAAGCAGTAAATCCCTCGTTTCGATATCGAGTACTGTAGGACCTCAGGCCAGGCATTTACCTATTCCAAGACTTTAGGCTGTCTTTCTCATAACAAAGCCGATGGGGGCAATCACCGGGATAATCATCTCGGGCCATTGTAACTAGCGTTGCAGCAGGGACAATTTTAGACTTCTGAGTACATGTTTAGAACACGAATCATCACCTTCCTTCTTTATTAAAAAAAATGACTTTGCTCTGTAATTTCTGTGCCATTCCCAGGCCACTACAATGGATGGAGTTAACCTCAGCACCGAGGTTGTCTACAAAAAAGGCCAAGATTATAGGTTTGCTTGCTATGACCGGGGCCGAGCCTGCAGGAGCTACCGTGTGAGGTTCCTCTGTGGGAAGCCTGGTAAGTGGTCCCTTGTCGGGGATGGAGGTGCAGCTGCAGCGCGGTTCCTTGAACTGGCAGCTATGCAGGCAACCTCCAGACATCTCAGTGAAACAGGGCTCCCAAAGGAGAGTACTTCTGTGACACAGGAGCAGTGCGAGGGGCCTTGGAGCTGGCAGAAGACAGCAGAACCCCACCCTGCCCATAAGTCTTTCAGGAAGGGGAAGGGCCTGGTCCAAGGCAGTCAGGGTGCAGGTGGGAAGAGCCATCCTCCCCCGCAGAGAGCTGCAGCGTTTTGCTTTTTTGGGTGCTCTTATTTTAAACCCAGTTCCAAAAGTGCTTGTTAGAAAAGATTGGAAATGGTTGGGTTGTTCTCGGAGGCACTTGGCCATCTCCAGAAGGCAGTCATTAGGAAGGAAAGTTTAGGGGGAGAGGTTTATGGCTACCGAAAATAATAGTTGGGAGGAACTGTAGTTGTTTTACATCTTTAGCAAAGTGGGTGGGGTGAGGCAGCCACATTTAACTCCAGCTAAGAAGTTAGTGGAAAATTCCTTTGCCCGGAGCTAATGAATGGCTCTTTTCTGGTAGGATTTTTGTTGACTTCAAAAACCTTTACCAAGAGCGGGATGGAGTAAGCTAGTGATTTGGGGTTTGGATAGGCAAAGCTGGCATTTACTTATTTAGGGAGGGGAAGGGAAAAAAGAGGTAGCCAAACATTTGCCAAGGGCAAAGGGCTCTGTCTCAGTCTTTCCTGTTTTGGGTTGCAGTGAGGCCCAAACTCACAGTCACCATTGACACCAATGTGAACAGCACCATTCTGAACCTGGAGGATAATGTACAGTCATGGAAGCCTGGAGACACCCTGGTCATTGCAAGTACTGATTACTCCATGTACCAGGCAGAAGAGTTCCAGGTGATTCCCTGCCGGTCCTGCGCCCCCAACCAGGTCAAAGTGGCAGGTAGGACTATTACTAATCCCTCCCTAGACTGGGAGATTCTGAAAACTGTTAGGCTTAAAGTAAACTGAAATTACGACAAATCTGTATTAGTCAGCTATGGCTGTGATGATGCTGCATAACAAAAAAAAATCTTGAAGCCTCATGGCAAGGCTTTATTTCTTACTCATGCATCTGCAGGTTGTCTAGAGTTCAGTTTCTCTGGACTGAGCTTGACTCCAGGCTGAGAGTTGGGTTCGAGTCACTTCCATATGACTCCCATTCTTCCCAAAACATGTTCTTCTCCTGGGGGAGGTTGCAAACTCCTAGGGGTGAGCAGAAACACAGAACTCTTAAAGCCTAGGCTCAAAGATGGCACGTTCTCGCACTCACATGCCATTGGCTACAGTAAATCACATGGTAAAGTGCAACACAATTCGGCTAGGGAAGTATATATCTCTCTTCAAGTTTGAGGGGGAGGAAGTGAATATTTGTTAAACAATTATTCAATCTACTACAAAACTTTTAATCTCTTCTATCTGGGGGTTTGGGGTTTTTCTTTTTCTTCTCGTAAATCTTGATTTAGATGTCCTGTAATTTATGTTATGTGAGGTTACTGGAATCACAGATTGTTAAAGGTAAAAGGAGACTTGAAATATAATTCAGATCAATAATTCTTAGTATGGCGAGTTGTGTTTCAATTAGAGTTCTTTGGTTGTAAGTAACAGAATCCAACTTGACTATCTTAAGCAAAACAGAAATTTATTGAGAGGATATTCAACTTGGAGAACTAAAGGAGAAGCTGAACAACCTGCAAAAGGAAAGGGAACAAGTTAGCCCATGGGGTCTGGGTAGCAGGAACTAATGGATGCATCCTTAAGGCATCATCTTTAAGAACCATGCTTAGGCCCTGGGACATAGTTTCCAAAGTCACCTTCCAGGGAGAGAGCATCCACTTGGACTAGTGGCACGTATACTCACCCTTTGGCTGGGAAAGGCAGGAACCTTCACTGGAAGTTCTTCTAGGACTGCATCAAAGGGATAAATGGTCATTCCCCAAAGGAAAATTGGGATGTATCACCAGAAGAAAGGGGAATCAACACTGGGCATTAAAAATACCACGTGCTGCAGTGGGGCTGGGAGAAAGACTATGGATTGGGAAAGCATTTTTATTATGTTCATCATATCCATTTGGAAAGAAACCCATGGAACATAAAATTCAACACAATCTTTTTGACTGGCTGAGATGTGCTTGAGGAAGAATCTGTGGAGGAAACGTTTAAAAAGTCTGAGAACATTGATGGAATTCAGTCACCTTATCTCACTCATGGGGGAAGCGGACCCTAGAGGTCCTGTGGCAGAGGCAGTCCACAAACACTGCAGCTGTGATGCCAGGGTGCCCATCGTACATCTCAGAACCTAAAAAAGAAGGCTTACAATGCTTTGGAGGGAGACGGTAATTTGGCGAGTGTAGCTAAAGAGAGGGAATGAAGCAGCAGCTTGTGGGTAGAGGTTGAGATGACTAGACATTTGTTCCTGCCCAGAACAAAGTAACAGAGTCTGCTTTTTAAAATGACAATGTTTGAACCCCTACATTATTTGCAAAATGTTTTGGGGTATCTTACCACAAACACAAGTCCAAGTAAATCTGGCACCCAGGGAGAAAAAGATAGAAGGAGAATAAATTCAGCGAAAGCAGAGAGGGAGGTGACCGAGATAGCAGGAGAGCAGAAGATACTAAAATAGACAATAAGCTTTATCTTTGAGCTTCCTGGCAGCCAGAGCAAAGAAAGAAACTTCATGAATTACTTAACAATCATTATCCACTGAAAGGAAGGAGACAAGGAGCCTAGAAGACCAAGAGGGTCAACTTTCCCTTAGCTCTGAGCCACTGAGGAATCTGCCACAGAGGTTTTCATAAGAAAGATATTCATGACGGTGTGAGCAGCCATGCTGGGGGCAGTTTTATGCAAAGATGCTCTGTGTGGCTATTTGCAGTTGAACCCCTAATAGTAGATGGGGAAATGCTGTTGGTCACATTCTATGAAGATATTTTGAAGAAGACATTTCTGGTTTGGGTTTTGTTTGGCAGAGGCAGAATAGAATAAAGAACATGGGCTTTGGAACCAGACATCTGGGATTTGGGTTCCAGGAACTGCAGTTATTTGCTATATGACCTTAGACAGTTATGTAATTTTTATCTCAGTTTCCCGTGATCTGTAAAATCATGCCTGTAATCCTAGCACTTTGGGAGGGCGAGATGGGTGGATTGCCTGAGCTCAGGAGTCTGAGACCAGCCTGGGCAACACGGTGAAACCCTGTCTCTAGTAAAATACAAAAAATTAGCTGGGTATAGCGACGTGCACCTATGGTCTCAGCTACTCGGGAGACTGAGGAGGAGAATTGCTAGAACTGGGGAAGCGGAGGTTGCAGTGAGCCGAGATTGTGCCACTGCACTCCAGCCTGGGTAGCAGAGTGAGACTTCATCTCTCTAAAAGAAAAAAAAGGAGATAATGATTATGACTACTTCATGAGATTGTCGTGAGGGTTAAAGGAGTTTGTGTATGTGAGGCACTTACAATATTGCCTGGCTCACAGTAAGTGCTGAATGAATGTCAGCTCTTATTATTACTATTAGGTGCAGTAATTCAGCAACCGTGCCTAAAGATGGGAAAGGAGAAAGGGGCGTGGCTAAGAGCGTTTTCTAGCTGACCAATTCTGCTTTTTTGGGACATGCAAGTGGAGGGTATTGTAGAGACAGGGAAGCAATTTATTTCTATTATTATTATTTTGTAGAGACAGAGTCTCACTATATTGCCCAGGCTGTTCTCAAAATCCTGGGCTCAAGTGATCCTCCCTCCTCAGCCTCCCAAAGCGCTGGGATTACAAGCGTGAGTCAGCACACCCAGCTGTCATCATTATTAATGAACACCCAAGGTCTGTCGTAGGCCTGCAGCTATTTCTCCACATGCCTCCAGTGCCTCAAGGTGTGGATGTCATCTCTGTGAGTGTGCATGTTGCATGCTTCCTCCATCCTTAGGCTGGACAGGTGGCCTTGCCCTGCTCTTTCTTCACGAGGAGGTGGGTAGGAGCATTTCATCATTGATTCACCAAGCCGTTAGAAAGCATATATAGGCCAGCGCAGTTGCTCATGCCTGTGATCCCAGCACTTTGGGAGGCTGAGGTAGGTAGATCACGAGGTCAAGAGATCGAGACCATCCTGACCAACATGGTAAAAACCTGTTTCTACTAAAAATATAAAAATTAGCTGGGCATGGTGCTGTGTGCCTGTAATCCCAGCTGCTCAGAAGGCTGAGGCAGGAGAATTGCTTGAACCCAGGAGGCAGAGGTTGCAGTGAGCCAAGATAGTGTCATTGCACTCCAGTCTGGGTAACAAGGCGAAACTCCATCTCAAAAAAAAATACAAAAATTAGCCAGGCATGGTGGTGCATGCCTGTAATCCCGGCTACTCAGGAGGCTGAGGCAGGAGAATCACTTGAACCCAGGAGGCGGAGGTCACAGTGAGCCGAGATCGTGCCACTGCACCCAGCCTGGGTGACAGAGCAAAACTGTCTCAAAAATAAATAAAAGAAAACACATACATTTGCCAGGCAAAGTGCCAGCCTTGCATACGCTGTGGTGAGCAAGGTAGATGTGTTTTCGTCCTCAGGGAGCATGCAGTCCAGCAGTGAAGATAGATATCCACCAAAGTTTTGTTCCAATCAAAATAGAATTCCAAAATCGAATGGTGACAGCTGCTATCACAGTGGAATATGGGAGGTGCTGGGACTGTAGAAAAGGGAGACTGGCAAAGGCTGACAGGCACGGGCGTCTTCCCAGAGGAGCGAGCGGCTGAGCCCAGACAGCATAGAATCTACCTCGGGCGAAGTACTGCCAGAGGGGAATGTACAGTTGAGGGGAGCATGGGGCATTCCAGCTACCGAGAGGCCCGGAGTAGCTAACGTGGAGAATGGGAGAGCTACGTGGGGCTTCAGGGAGACGGAGGGGCCGTGGCGCAATCTGGGGCTTTATTCTTAGTGCACAGGGAAGTCTCTGGAGGGTAGAAGCCTACTGGATTTCCCCTGGCAAGGAAGAACTGTCTAGATCAGTGGCTATAGGAGGGTGCCAGGAGAAGCAAGTTCCTAGTGATAGTCAAACACTTGCATCTTCACTGAGTGACTCTGTGTCACCCAGGGACAATGCATTGTGAAGAAGCCTCTGGGAGGTCAGATGTCCCCCTGGACTCTTGGCAGGAGTGGCATTCAGACCACCTGAGCTGATGTCACTGCTCACTCTGAGCTGGTCCATGGGCCTGGGGTGACATGCGGGCTGTTTAGGAGGGTGAAAGCCTGACTGTGAGCCCTTGCCTGTGTGGAGCCAGTGGGCATTCCAGGGAGAGGCAAGTGGGCTTTCTTCAGACCAGTCCCCGTCTGCACCCCAGGCTGGGTTACCCCAAGGGCTGCATGGGAGACCTCACTGTGAGCAGGTCCTGTCCAGGCAGCTGTGGTGCCAAGGGTAGCCCTGACGATGGGGAACCAGTGTGTGTCAGCATTTCTGGCTCAGCCTACAGTGCGGCTGGGGTGTCCCTGCAGGAGAGCTGCTCCTCTTGATCACTTTTGGCCACCAGGGTCAGCTGCTCCTGGGGGCCCATAAGGCTGGACAGAATGCAGTGAGGCTGCTCCAGCCCTGAGTACCAAGTGGGAGAGGATAAGCAGAGAAGATATTGCGCCTGCCCTATCGCCCTCCTCTTCCCTTGGGTTTAGCACCACCTGTGTGTGTTTCCCCATCAGCCCCACCCCAGCTCACCTCCCCTCCCTTAAAAGATATTCCGCTCAGAGCGGCCGCCTCCTTCGCTCTGCCCAGGAGCTGTGGGGCCCCCATGAAAACAGCATCTCCTGGTGAACAGCACCAGAAAAGCCCTAGGTAGGGGTGCCTGTGTGAGCATGTGTGTGAGTGTGTGTGTGTGAGTGCATGTGTGTGCATGTCTGTCTGTCCTGGAGAGGCTCAGATTCATCCTATTCATCCCCAAGCCCATTCTCTGGCTCTCCATCTCCCTGTTGACAGGGATCAAGGACTCTACCCACTTCTCACTTTTCTCTGAGCACCCTCCCTGATCCTGGGTTTTCTCTGAGCGCCCCCCCCATCCTGAGTTTTCTCTGAGCGCCCCCCCCCATTCTGTTCTATCTCTTAGGCTTGTCTCCCCCAGGCTTCCTGTACACGGGGACACATCCTTCCTGGGTCCTCCTTCCTCATTGCTCCCAGGTTCCATTGGACAAGATCATTTGCATTTTAAGGCCTTTCTGATGGAAAACAGATGGGAGTAATGAAGTAATGAAAATGCATGAATCATCTAAAAATATTTCAAAGTTTTGTCACCCACAGTATGATTCTCAACAGCTCACAGTGTGGCAATTGGAACTCCCCTCCCTTGATTTCCTGCCCTCTTGTCTTTACCACCTCCCCACTTTGCCCGTAAACACCCCCATACCTTAAAGAATACTGCCATTAGCTAGAATCAACATGAATTTAGTTTTCTGTGATATTCCAAGTACTTCACATAAACCATCTTGTTCAGTCTTCACAAAACAGTAGAGGCTACTGTTTTCTTCGTGACACAAATGAGAAAACTGAGGCTCATGGAAATTAAATGTCTAAAATTTTATTCCGATTGGGCGAGGTGGCTCACGCCTGTAATCCCAGCACTTTGGGAGGCCAAGGTGGGCGGATCACCTGAGGTCGGGAGTTCAAGATCAGCCTGACCAACACAGTGAAACCCAGTCTCTACTAAAAATACAAAGTTAGCCAGGTGTGGTAGCACATGCCTGTAATCCCTGCTACTCAGGAGGCTGAAGCAGGAGAATTTCTTGAACCCGGGAGGCAGAGGTTGTGGTGAGCTGAGATCACACCATTGCTCTCCAGCCTGGGCAAAAAAACGAAACTCCGCCTCAAAATGAAAAAAACCTATTCTTCAGTCACAGCAGCCAGGTTTCACGCGGCCAGTAGCCGCCAGTGACTACCAGCTACCCTCTGGATAACCCAGAATAGAGCATTTCCTTCATTACTGGAAGATCTATGGGCAGCAGTGATACTAGGTCAAGCAAGTCAACAGCTGAGCCAGGATTCTAAGTCAGAGCCATCTGGCTCCAAGGCTATGTGTCCTGCTTCACCCTCCCTCCATAAGGGCCCTCGTTCCCAGCGTCTCCACCTGAAGATGATGACCCCCTATTCCCCTCCACCAGACTCCCAGAGTCCTGCTAGGTCTGAGCTCCAAGTGCACACTCTGGCTTCTTCCATTGGAAGGTCTTTGATGTTGTTCCCTTGACCCCAGGGTGCCTAGCACCCTGTGTATCCTGTAGAGAGGGTTCTGGGGGTTGTGGAACCAGGACACCTGCAGAGTAAAGACGAGAGAAGGTCAGCATCTGCAGGCCTGCGTACGGCAAGTGTGCAGAGCCCCCTGCTTCCCCTTCACCTCGTCCTTCTCCTTCCTCTTCCCCTTCACCTGGGTGCTCATGCACTTCAGGATTATTTGAGACAAGGCTGCTTTGGCCACGTCTGCTTTTCCCTGGTGGAGCTTCATGTATCAGGACTTTGAGGAGGAAGGGAGGGGTGGAGCTTGGTGGGAGAATTCTGAGGCAGGATGAGGTGCGGGGGAGTCAGGCACACAGTGCCCCTTGTCTCTTGGATAGCAGCCTGGGAGTGGCCAGCGAAGGCGGCAGCAGGACAGATAAAGTAGCTGCCACAGCCAATAGCCACGGCCAGGTCTTGTACAAGGTCTTGACAGGAAGCTCCACAGCCGGGGAGGCGGCTGTGGGACTGAAACATGCTGGCAGCTCCCAGCCCGACTTATATTTCCTTGGCTCACAGGAGTCTGATAAACACAGTGTCTCTCCCTACCTGACAGCCACTCCTCCACCCTGCCCAACTTCCCCCACGGGACAAAGAAAGATGCCAAATTTGCTGTCTACCAACTCCCATCATTACAGGTGTGAAGCCAGCGGTGGGAGCCTTGGGGATGGTGCCAGTGACAGTTGTAGGTGTCAGTTCTGTTACACTGGCCTCCTCCCATGTGCCAGGGGCACCATTTCCAAGCACATCCCATGGATTCATTCATTTAACAATCACAGCCCCCTTTTGAGGTATGTGCTATTATTATCTCCGTTTTACAGATGAAGAGCCTGAGGCTCCAGGAGCTTAAATAATATGCTCAGGGACTCCCAGCTGTGAGCTGAGTTAGAATCTGACCCTCACAGCCTGGCCCCAGAGTCACAATCCTCCCCATCACACTATCTTACCTCTGTAGCAACATTCAAGACTGGATCCCTGAGGAGGCTCTCTGGCCACCTACAAGAGCGGAAGCAGATGCCTCTAATCCGTGTTCTTCCTGGACATCCCTTTTTTTTTTTTTTTTTTTTTTTTGAGATGGAGTCTTGCTCTGTCACCCAGGCTGGACTGCAGTGGAAGGATCTTGGCTCACTGCAACCTCCACCTCCCAGGTCCAAGCAATTCTCCCGAGTAGCTGGGATTCCAGGCATGTGCCACCATGCCTGGCTAATTTTTTGTGTTTTTAGTAGAGACGGGGTTTCACAGTGTTAGCCAGAATGGTCTCGATCTCCCAAAGTGCTGGGATTACAGGCATGGAGCACCACACCCAGCCCCTGGACACCATGTTTTAAGGTGGATGCTGGCAAGCTGAGAGCAGTACTCAGAGCACCAGGATACACATGCTGTGAGGGATGATTGGAAGGCAAAGGATGAGTGTCCTGGAGGCGTGGAGGCTCAGCCTGGTTTCTCGGCTCTGCCAAGCACTGTGGGAATTCCCAGAAGGAAAGGCTAATGCTGACTGTGGTCAAAGAGGGCATCACTGAGAAGGAGAAACGAGCTGGATGGTGAGGGGCAAAGTGGAGAAAGCTGTCGCAGGTGGAGGGAGACACATGATGAAAGCTCGTGCATGTCCAAGGAAGGATGAGAGTCTGGTCTGGCTGGAACAGAAGAGGGTAGGTGGGAGTGATGAGAGATGAACCCACAGGAGCTGGGCATTTCGCTGTGTCAGTCCCTTAAACTGGTACGCAGGGAGCTGAGTTTTGCATGGAGACCTCTTTGCCCTCCCCTGCCCGGCAGGACTGAGCCTGCTGCTCTCTGCACGTTTCTCTCAACATGCTCAACCCTTTGGGGAGTTTGGGAAGTCTGATTCCTTCCCTTTGCGAAGTTCACTCTGTGCTCTCAGGACCCACCCCTGGGGCTCCCCATCGCTTGGTCAGTTCATGGGCTGCTCTTAGTCAGTTCAGGGGCTGCTGTGAGATGCCTCTAGGGCACTAGCAGTCAGTTCTTCCTTTGCACCCTGAGAACAGCCCAAGCCAGCCCTGCTGGCTGGAAGGCCTTTTGGGAGTATTTCTGGGCACAGACACAGCCGTCCACGGGGATGCCCACCAGGAAACAAAGGAACTTCCAGATCCAGCATGGCTGGAAACCCAGGCTTCTGGAAGGCCTAAGGGAAAGATACTCCAGCTCTGTAAAAAGAAGGGCCCATTTTTACTGTCCTATTTGTCTGCAGGGAGCATCTTGCCCTGGGGTAGTTGGGAAGACTAGGAAAGACAGGGAAGCAGAGGGGGCCAAAACTCTTTTGGTCTCTGTGTTGATCCTCAAGCTCTTCCACAGGTGAGGAAAAAGCAAAGGAGGAAGATGTGTCCAGGCAGATTTAGATGTGCAGGTGGTAGGCGGCGTGTAGGACCAAGGAGAGAGCGGCAGGAGTAGCAGAGGGAGCCTGCAGGCTGTCAGGAGCTCCTTCACTTTTCCATCCTTCCTTCAGACCTTCAAATGCAGGTCTGAAGCCTGGGAGGGGAGAGGAAGGAAGGATGATTAGGAGGAAGGAGCTTAGACTGCAGTGTGGCTCTAAGAAACCTTGAGGGGCCAATGGGGAGCTGGGGAGCAAAGGCTGCCTGCTGGGGGCATCTCACCTGGGGCAGGAAGGACCCGACTCTGGACTCTGGTACCTCTGCGGAGCTCACTCACCGGGAGGAGTCCAAGAAGAGCACAACCCCGGAGAAAACACACATGGATCCTGAAGGTGCAGCTGCTGGAGGCTGTCCACTCTCGACCCCCTTGGCGGCAGGCTCCCTCCGAGAGAGATCAGAGCAGCACACTCCTGTGGCTGCCAGAGAGAAGACCTGTACATGGGACTGACATGATGTATTAGTCCTTGGAGGAAGAGGCCAGGGTCCGTGGACCGGAAAAGAGGCTTGGGAAAGACAGGACTCACGCTCTCATGGGGCATGGCCATTGAGTCACAGGTGGAGGCATTGTGTTGAAGGTTGCCTTTGTGGGAAAGGTCCCACAGTCCCACAGTGCTCTCTTGGTCACAGGGCCAGGATCCAGGGGTAAAGAAAAACAGCCCAGACCCCATGTCACCTGTGGGCCCACGTTCTCCTCCCCACTCACCATCAGGCCCTGAGCACACTCTGACCTTCCATTTCCTCAAATGGAAAATGAAGTGACTGCAAAAGCCCTTCTGTATCTGGTTCTTCATGATTAGATCTGATTATAATCCATTTTCAGTCTGTCCTTCAGTGAATCCTTCGCTGGACTTGTGAGTCTCTCTTCTCATCAGTTCTGCAGGTCCAGCCCTCTGTCTCGCTCCCCTGAGGCACTTGTCACTCAGAAGCCAGTGAAAAGTTCTTTTTCAGAAAGATTCTGCCCCCCACACCTGGGAGGGCCCCATGACTGAAAGCCACAGAGCCGATGGATGGGAGATAAGTCAGGGATGAAAGGAGAGGCTTTTCCGTGGGTGGCCCGCAGGAGCCCTGCTTCTGGATCTTAGAAATGCGAAGACCATGGCCCTGTAGCACAAGTGAGAAGCCACGTTCAGTGGGATGCCCTGGAACAAGGGGCTCCCACATTCTGCAGAGTTAACTCACTTCATATCGTTTCCCCTGGTTGGTGTCAGAAGCTTGGATGAAACCAAAGGCCTGACAGCTTCCAAGTGTGGTGTCCACTCCCCACCCCTTTTGCAGGACAGACCTTTATGGCATCTGCCTATCAGGGAGTGAGAGTACATTGCAGTAAATGAAATCTTTCTAAGGTTTTTTTTTTTTTTTTTGATGTCTGATACTGGTTTAAAGAAGGACTCTGTGCTGGGCATGGTGGGACCCACTTGTAGTCCCAGCATTTGGGGATCCCACATAGGATTTTTTGAGCCCAGGAGTTCAAGACTACAGTGAGCTATGATCACACCACTGCACTCCAGCCTGGGTGACAGGTCAAGACCCAACCCACTATCTGAGAAAAGGAGGACTCTGTGATAGGTGGAATAATGACCCCTAAGTAATATCCATGTCCTGATCTTCGGTACCCATGAATGTTAGCTTATGTGGTAAAAGGGACTTTGCAGATGTAATGAATTAAGGCTCTGGAAATGGGAGATTATCCTGGATTATCTGGGTGGGCCCAGTGTGGTCACGAGGGGCCTTATAAGAGGGACACAGGAAGGTCAGAGTCGGAAGAGTGTGACGTGGTGCTGGGGCAGCAACTGGAGTGAGGTGTGTAAAAACGGATAGAAGGGGCCATGAGCCAAGGAACACAGGTGGCCCCTCAAATCTGCAAAGGGCAAGGAGCAGATTCTCCTCTGGAGCCTCCTCAAGGAACCAGCCCTGTTGACACCTTGATTTAGCCGCATAAGACTCATTTCAGACGGTGACTCCCAAGGCTATAAATTTATGTTGTTTTAAGCCACTAAGTTTGCGGTAATTTGTTACAACAGTGGAAGGAAACTTATACCAGCTCCACAGGAGATATTTTCTCAGATTTGCAGTGCGTCAATTTCACATCTTGAATAAGATACTTCAAAGGATACCAACCATCTCACTGAGTCTGCAGGATTCCAAAACAGTAAACATCGCTAGAAACACTGCAGGCACACAGGACGTGCGGGGTGAAGGGGCAGGCAAGGGTCGGCTCTTCCTGGGGAGGAGACAGCAGGGCAATGCCACTGTGGTGGGTGTTGCTCGGGGCTAATTATAACTGTAGCCTTCACATGTGGACACTGGCTGTGTCTGGGGGCTGAGGCCGGGGCCCCATTGCTCAGTCAAGATCATAGTGAAAGCCAAGAGGTGAGCTGGTGTGGTTCAGGCTGGGAATCCACATAGGAGGTTACTGCTGTCTGTAATTGCATCCTCAAATGGAAGAGAAAGCATCCATAAGCCAAGTCAGCAACCTCAGGATGAGCCAAACGAATTTAGAGCTCGCCTGAGATCTCCTTATTCCATAAGAGCGTGTGGGATTGTTGTGGAGGCAGGATTTGGGGCTATAAATCAAAGGCAGTTCTAAAGTTCGAACTCTCATCACCCTGCATCGTTCTTGAGATGCATTCTCTGCACAGAGTGGGGAGGAAAGGACTGCATTTGGCAAGAGATTGGGTGGAGTGGTGGGAGGGAGAGAGTGTATAGAAAACGGAGGGGTTAGAGGCAGATCACAAGTTCGGGGACTCCAGTTACAGTGGGAGAGAGACTGGTAATTGCTAGGAGGGGTAGCAGAACTGGAAAAGCCCTTTTGTTTGTTTGGTTTTTAAGGATGGGAAGGTCTAGAGAAGTTTGAAGGCAGAATATAAGGAGCCCAAATGAAGGAAGAAATAAAATTGCTAGTGGAGGGAGTCCAGGGCCTTAAGGATAGGGAAAGGGGTGGGCCTGGGAGTCAGTGTGCAAGCAGAGGGAGCATCCTCTTCTCTGAGGCCAGAGGGAGGACGGGGGGTGGTGAGGAGCTCAGTACGGAGTTGGGTGGAGGCCCTTCTCCACTGCTCCACGTGGTACCATGGAGGCATCCAGAGCCAGGCCACAACGGTGGATATGGAAGCTCCAGTCTGGCTCTTTCTAGAGCCCCAGGCTGTAGATACACATTCTGCATGAGGCTGAGGTAAGCAGAATAGGGATTTACCTGCCTTAACAGGTTATGAATTTGCACTGCTCTAAAGCAGAGGCTTTAAAGACAGGGGATCTGTTTTATTTTCCTAAGGTCGGCAATCTACAGTATCATCTGGAGACCAGTTTCTTCCCTCCCATTGCTCTGCTGTCTCTGGGGCATGGCTCTCACCTTCGTGGGTGAAGCTGACCCGCTAGCCCCCAGAAAAGAGCAAGAGGAGGGCAGTCTGGAGGTGGCACTTATCACTTCTCACATCTTACAGCTGCACCTGACTGCAGGGAGGCTGAGAATGTCATTCCCTTGGATGGCCCTGTTTCCAGCTAAAATGCAGTAGTCCAGGACTGAAGAGCAGAAGAGGAAACAAATATTAAGGGACAGTTAGCCATTTCTGCCAAGGGCTTGAGACTGGAGCCTGTGTACCTGTGAGATCTGGCTCTGCGTGCGGGCATGTGACTTCACCTCCCTGACCTTCATCCTTCTGTAACATGAGACCACTGTGTACACCGAGCCTGGTGATGAGCAAGCAGCAGCCATGGAAGCAGCTGGCTGGAACTCAGTGGGCATGCGGTATCTGCTGTCGTTTACCTGCCTCCCTGTCTGCCCTAGGGAAACCAATGTACCTGCACATCGGGGAGGAGATCGATGGCGTGGACATGCGGGCGGAGGTTGGGCTCCTGAGCCGGAACATCATGGTGATGGGGGAGATGGAGGACAAATGCTACCCCTACAGAAACCACATCTGCAGTTTCTTTGACTTTGATACCTTTGGGGGCCACATCAAGGTATGTGTGTGTCTGGCAGAGGCTGTCAACCCAACCAGGAAAGGCTCCATGATGTCACCCTCTAGGCAGGGCTTCCTGGTAGGGATGAGGGTGGGGGAACAGGAGGTATGATCAAGGGGAGGGCGCCTTCTGGAAGTTTGAGGAGGCTTATGTATTACCCATTGGCATGCAGTTTCCCCCACTAATAATTGGCAATAACAGAGATGACAGAGCTAACTTGGCAACAAACAGCTCTCTGCTCTTAGCCACATGGTACACGTCACACTGTCTCAACAATGCCTTCATCCCTTGTCTTCGTTATTTCATTATTCATTATTGCCCTGATCACTTCCTAAAAGAACTAGCATTCATCTTGCAAAAAGTCACGTTTATAATAGATCCATTACCGTATAGATAAAACAAGCACGTGAGAGGATCTAGAAGTTGTAGCATTGGCCAGACACGGGGGCTCATGCCTGCAATCCCAGCACTTTGGGAGGCTGAGGTGGGCAGATCATGAGGTCGGGAGATGGATACCATCCTGGCCAACATGGTGAAACCCTGTCTCTACTAAAAATACAAAAATTAGCTGGGTGTGGTGGCACGTGCCTGTAATCCCAGCTACTTGGAGGCTGAGGCACAAGAATTGCTTGAACCCAGGAGGTAGAGGTTGCAGTGAGCTAAGATCACACCACTGTACTCCAGCCTGGTGACAGAGGGAGGCTCAGTCTCAAAAAGAAAACAAAAGTTGTAGCATTAAATTTACCTGTGAGTTTCCTGGTTAGAGTCAAGACAAAGAGGAGACATAGTGAGCTGCAGGGTTCTTACTGTACAATATAGAAAAACGATACTAGTTTATTGGTGCTTATATTTTTCTAGTATGAAGCTCAAAGAGGAATTTCTTTTGCATCACAATGCAAAGTGCCTTTTCCTGGCATATTACATTCCTTAAGATACCCCAAATATCTTCATGTAGTAATTGGTTTCAATGTCTATAGCACAATATTATCTCAGAGTTTTGTGAAGATAGTTCTCTTAAAGCTAACATCATGCACTTTAAGGATATGACGTTTTGTTAGTGTAACTGAAGAGATAAATGGAGTGAAACCTACAGAGTTCACAATGGGGGCCCTACTGGCATTTTATGTGAGATCATTCTTTGCCGCACAGGCCTATATTATAGGATTTCCGTCATCCCTGGTCCCCACTCATTCAATGCTAGCCGTGCTCCTCAGTCATTACCACCACCAAAAACACTTGTACACATATCCAGTCATCTGCTGGGTATAAGGGTGGGGCAGAGGGGATGGTACTGTCCTCAGCTGAAACTCGTTAGTGAGACTAAAGCAGTAATAGCAGTTATGTATTACACCAGCTGCTGTAGCCCCTTTCCATTCCCGAGAGTAGTCCCTGAGTGATTAGGGTACTTTCCCACTGAGCTCACACTAGCCCTCAGAATCATTCTCAACACAGCTCTCCAGGGCAGCATTGGACTTGGCACTCTGATTGACACCTATTTTTGGAAGAAATGGCTAGCATGCCAATATTATTATTCTCTCTTAGAGGTTGGCTGAGCCTGACTTTTGACAGGAGTCCTTTCTGGACTCTGCTTTCATGGTGAGCACCTGGAGGGCAGATGATCCCTGTGGTCAAGTGGTTTTCTTGAGCCCAAAATGAATGGCTCTAGGCATATTGTGAAGTGATTATGTGGCATCCCCTCCACTCACACACATGCCACCAGAACATGGGCTCACAAAGATTCCAGAGTCAGTGTTCCCCTTCCCTCTGCCAGGAGAAGGTCTTACATGGGAGACAATGGCCAAGACTGTTGCTGCTCCTTGGTCCACTGTCTTCTGGATCCCCCATGCTCATAGGGCATGCTTTTTGCCCCTCCAGGTTATCTCAAAGTTATCCCTTGCTCATAACACTTAGTGGCTTGGGGGATGGGAAAGGAGGGTCAAAGTGAGCCCAAGGTATATCACAGAACATCTCATTTATTAGAACATCTCATTTCCAAGCAGTCCATTTCCTCACAATGTCCTCTGTCATTAGCAGCACCTTGCCTGTATTCCTCAATATAAGAAGGGCCAGACATTCTAGTCCATTTGCAGAGAATATATTTGATTTACTGAGTACTGGGTGGGGACTGATAAGGAACAGTACTGCTGCATCTTTGGAATATGGGCACCAGCCAGGGAAATCCAGAAGCATCTCATGGTCTCCTCTCACTCTCGGTTCTCCTCTTCTAGTTTGCTCTGGGATTCAAGGCAGCACACCTGGAGGGCATGGAGCTGAAGCATATGGGACAGCAGCTGGTGGGTCAGTACCCAATTCATTTCCACCTGGCTGGTGATGTGGACGAAAGGGGAGGCTATGACCCACCCACATACATCAGGGACCTCTCCATCCATCATACATTCTCTCGCTGTGTCACAGTCCATGGCTCCAATGGCTTGTTGGTAAGCACCTTCTTCCTTCAGGGAACTCTGGGGATGGGCCATAGATGGTTAGCACTGAAGGGGTGTTTGGATGTAGACACTGACTCTAAGGTCTTTGGGGGTTGAACCATCCTTATCTTAGATTTTAGAAAGATATCAACTGGGAGCAGATCACCAACCAAACAGGAAGGAGAAAATCGAGGTTTGTCCTTACCAAAGGTACCAAGCAGAGACGGGAGAGTGATTACTTTGGGGTGGTTTCTGGGAGTCCATTTTCTCCTGTGCTTCATTGGCATAACAGGAAATCTGGAGATCATTTTGTGGCCACACGACATGACAGATTTGTTACTGCAGACAGGGGGGTCATGCCAGGACTTGGTTGTGGTATCTACCCACCAGATTTGAGATGGTGAAAACAATGGGCTTTTTTTCTTCTGTTGAACCAAGTCTTCTTTCAGAGCAAGTGCTGCTGGGAGAAATACTCTCATTAGCAAATTGGCATGTGTATCAGAGGCTTGTCTTGATTTCCACAGATAATTTTTACACTAACTTGACCTTTCTCTAAGCGAACTACATTTCTAACCTCTATAAATTTTAACACTGGACATCATAAAATGGCACCCTGCAGTCTGAATCTAGCAAGCAGATGTGTTTTGTTTGGCTTATACTGTGTTTAGAGAAACATTTGAACATGTTAAACTAAATTGATAATTTTACACTCAATAGGACTTTCTTTAAATGAACTACACTTATATCCTCTATAAACTTTAACACTGGGTATCACAGAATGGCACCTTCAAGCTAAATCCAGCTACGCATTGTGTTTTGTTTGGCTTAAATAGTGGTTAAAGAAACATTTGAATTAGTTTCCATCATTTAAAAATTAAGTGATTCGACATAAAAATCTGGATTCCTGGCTTCTCTTGAAAAGTAGGATGAGTTGGCAGTGCCTGCCCATGCCTCTCTGCATGGCAACAATGGCTTAGAGCAAAGTCGAGGCTGCCTCCACTAAGACAGGTGTGCATTCTCTAGGGTGCAGCAGGCCCACCATGGCGGTTACAATTACTGTAACGCCCCCCCACCAGGCCAGTGCCACTCCTTTCATTGCCTTCTGGTCCCTGTGGGCATTTGAGTTTGTAACCCCAGCTTTAAAACAAGCAGAGTGAACCTCACCAACAGGCATGTGATTATGGGAAAATGAGGAGGACGTCGGTGTGGTTCTATTCAAGTACTCTTCTATTATAAAGGAGCGTCTGTTGTTTCTGTGTTTTAAATCCTCTAATTTAAAACCTCCCACTGAGTAAACAGGAGAGATCATCAGCTTTGGAGTCCTTAGGATGGCCTGGGTTCAAGGGCTTGATCTACAGGTTGTGAGCTGTGGGACCTTGGGCAAGTAGCTTAACTTCTCGGAACCTCAGTTTCCTGCTCAGTCAAGTAGAGAAACAACACCAAACACATAGGGCTGTTGTGGGGATGAATGAGATGCAACTGGGGTTCATGTGGAGGTACTGGCCACACATCAGGGCTGATTCTCCCCAATAAGTGGTAGAGGACTGTGCTGGAGCCATTGCTGGAAGATGTGGCATTTTTTTGGGGCTCAAGGAAGAAGGAAAGGGCAATGTTTTCTGGCTGAAGCGGAAAGACATCAAGATGTATGATCATTCAGAATGTCAGGGATGCTGTATCACACTAAGCATGGGCTCTGGAGCCAGACTTCCTGCGTTGCAGTTGGAGTTCTGCCACTTACAAGCCATGTGATCTTGGGCCAGTCATTTGACTGCTCTATGCTTCTGTAAAATGGAGAGGCCGGCACTGCTTATTCTCCATGGTTGCATGGATTGAGCTAACAGAGAACATGAAAAGCATGGAGCGGAGTGTGTGGCCCACATTTTGTCCCGGGTGCAGGCCTCAGGTCTGTCCTGCTCCCTCCTGCGATTCACAGAACCAGTTGAATGGATGCAGTCACACCTTTCTCACACAGGGTGGTGATGGAGGTTAGGACACGTGGTGAAGAGAACAATGTAGGATCGCTTAGGAAAGATAACAGGCTTCACTGGGTCTTCGGAGCTTTACTTGCTGTAAGCATTTTTGTTGAAGTTCTATTCGTAAATTTAGCTTACATTCACCTACATGTCACTTTACTAAAGAGAAAGATATTAATGTTACTGGAAGCCTGTAATTATAGATCTGCAGCAGTTTGAGTGGAAGCTATTGTGACTCTCAGGGAAAATACACACACAAACACACACCCTGGAGTGTGGACGTGTGGCTGTGCTTTCTCACTTGCTGCGTGACCACTGGCAAGCTACTTAACCAGGCAGGTCCTCAGTTTTCTCACACGTGCTATGGAGAATGCGACGGCTTCCTCTCGGGTGGTTCAGTTAGGAAATGCCTGTGAAATGTTTTTGGCTGTCTTTGGAATAGCAAACCTTTCTCAGAGCACTCAGCTGCAGCAATGGACTCATGCAGGGGGAAACGGCACAAGAAGTTCCAGTGGCAGGGGCAGAGGCCTCGGGCACTCTAGGACACCCACCAGGACAGTGTAGAGAGTGAGCATCCCGGCAGCACTGCAGGTCCTGGGGGAGCTGGGAGAGCTGGGAGAACTGGGGAAGCTCAGAGAGCTGGGAGAGCAGGGAGAGGCTAGGAGAGCTGGGAGAGCTGGGAGAAGGTGGGAGAGCTGGGAGAGGGTGGGAGAGCTTGGGAGAGGCTGGGAGAGCTGGGAGAGGGTGGGGGAGGCTGAGAGAACTGGGAGAAGGTGGGAGAGCTGGGAGAGGGTGGGAGAGCTTGGGAGAGGGTGGGAGAGCTGGGAGGGCTGGAAGAGGGTGGGGAAGGCTGGGAGAGCTGGGAGATCTGCGAGAGCTGGGAGATCTGCGAGAGCAGGGAGAGCTGGGAGAGGCTGGGAGAGGGTGGGGGAGGCTGAGAGAGATGGCATAGGCCTTGAGCCAGGAGTGTGAGTTCATGAAGATAGGATGGGGGACTGAGAGATGCATGGGGCAAGAGGGAAGTCAGCAGATCAGGGTAGCCCACGGAGCTGTTTCTGGAGGTGGACTCTTAGAGCTAGAGCCTTGGACAGCCTCTCAGAACCAGAAGACCCTTGCTGCCCTATGTGCCAAGGTCACCCTACCGCCTGGCTCTCAAGGATGCCAGCTGCCAGACTGCGAGGGCCATTGTCCAGACATTAGGTGGCTGAGGCACCAGCTACAGCCTGGTCCTTGTGACCACATAGAACTGCAGCCTCACTCAGCTCAGGGCTGAGCTTGATGGCCAGGCTGGTGGGTTAGGGTTTGGAGACTGCAGCCCTTGAGGCCTTCCCAAGGTGAAACCAAATTGTCCTAGCTTAGAATCTAGATGAAGTGCAGGCCTCTAACTCTCTAAGGCAGACAGACAGCAGGGTAACGGAGAGCATTCCAGTGTCCTTCCCTAAGATCCCCAAGAGCCATCCCCCACATGGGAATTGGGTTTTGTGGGTTGGCACCCTGCAAATGCTCCGCCACTGGGGCAGAGAGTTCCACATTCAGAGATGCTGCCTCGGGAGCTGGATGGTCTCCATAGGTATTTTACATTTGCTGCTTTCGTTTTGGCTTGAAGGATTTATTCACAGCTGACTATGTTTGGAAACATGATTTTAGCTGATGGGACGAAAGGAGGCCAAATACAGACAAAGATGAGATCCTATTTGGAACGCAGAGGCCACTCAGCAGCATCGCAGAACCTTTTCCCTAACACCGCCCCTGATCTGAAGGAGGAATAGATTCCAGACAAGCAGATGCTGGCTTGGAACAAAGAGGGGTTCCTGATTGTGCAGAGCCGAGAGTGCCTTAAAGCCTGGCTCTGGGCTGATCCTACAGTGTCCTGGGAGCCCCTTGCTCATGAGCTCCCTCTCCCGCCGCCTATAGATAGGCTCCGGTATCCTTTATTCTTACCCAGCTTCCCTCGTCCCTAATTCCCCCTTGGCCAGCCATCTTTGCTCTTTCCCTTTCTTTACCGCCAACTCTTTGGAAGGGTGGTCTGAAATTCCACCAGCCCTGGTGATGGTTCTCAACAATGTCATTCAAAATGTCACCACCAAGTTCAGCCAACCCAGTGCTGTCTCTCCTGCTTCATTCAACTCCTAACTCTTTTCTGATGTAACAGTTACTATGGGCCTCAGTAGAACATTGAGATAGAAGAGCGTAGAGTCACAGGGACCTGTGTTTTAATCAGCCAGTGTGGCCTCGGGGTACTGATGGCAATCTTCCAGGACGCAGTCCCCCTATGTAAAGTGAGGATGATGATAGAACTGACTTCAAAGGGTCTTTAGGAAGATTAAACCAGTTAATGTATGGGACATAGTCAGCAATGGTATTCAAAGAGCATTACTATTAAGTAGTATTACTCTGTACCTCTGTATCTGTGTTCTGCGCAAACATCACTGGTTCCGTGAGACAGCAGCAAGTATCCAGACAAACAGAGACTGGCCTCTGTAGTTAAATGACCTTGGCAAACACCACATACGACGCGTGCTAGTAGAGCAAAAGCTCGCAGTAAAAACACATGCTTAGCTTTGGTTATCCTAGCGATGCCTAAACGCATTTGCATCTCACAGAGCTGGAGTTCCGTAACACAGAATTTGGAAAATGCTTCTCACTATATTGATATTGTCAATGGTGTGTTTCTTGAAACGCAGTCGTTAGCACCAAAGCTGCAGGATGCAGGCAGATGTGGGGTGCGGTCCGCCTTCGAAGGAAGGCTCTATGGCACAGTATCTGTAGGCTGGATAGTGGGGGTGGGAATGCAAAAGGGGCCCCCTACTTTATGTTAACATGTGTTTCTGAACTCGGAGGCTGAACATAGGGGGAATCACCTTCCTGATTTCCCTGGAGGAAGCGAATTAATCCAGTGCTTTTGTGGAAGGACGAAATGACTCCAATGTGGGTTCGGCTTGTCCCCTCCCTGCCTTTCCTTCCTTTCCTCCTCGTGCGTTGCTCAAAATGTGCTATTTTTGACATAAATGCTTCCAATAGCCACAAGATGCTTGAAACCAGGATGTCCCCAACAGGCTGCCACGTGTGGCCCCACAGGTTGTGACCTGCACTGCTCTGTGGGTACCATCTATACAGACTGCAGCCAGTCCCCAGTCGCCCCAGCCCCAGGGACATATCCTCCCTCTGGCATTCTATGAAAGATGGCTGAGCCCCATGTGTATTTGGCAGGAGACCCGGTGCCCTCTCTCCTGACTCAAAGTTCTAGGATTTGTGGAAGAGGCTTCTGTTTTTCCTGGTTACCTCCCTATTTCAGTCTCTTGAATTCACATTCCCACTCCCTTCTTCATTCACATGGCTGCTCTCATCTTGGAACCACTCAAGAGGCTCACCTTGTCTGCAACCCAGACAGAGCCAATTAATCAAGATAGGGGAATTGGAACAGAGAGTTTAATTCATGCACAGCTGGCCGTATGGGAGACGGGAGTTTTATTACTACTCAACT